CCACGACCAATAATATCCACGTGTTGCACATGAGATCTATGTACAAAATTGACAGGATGGGGGGGGGCGGGGTGTTCCTAAAATTGTTTATTATGAAATTACCTTACGTTAATGACGACCAAAAACTGTTAAATTATTAGACTTTACTTCTGAAGGATGAGTTTGCCTTATTCATCAAACGTTTTCTAAATAATTTGTCATGAGGGTCTGTCCTTCCCCTAGAGAACGATTTTTAGACTCGGGGGGGGGGTCCAAAATATCACAGATCAGACCTAGTCCGGCCATTTTCCAAAATATGGTCTGTCATTTTTGTGCTTTCTTAATTACTGGAGACATTTATGATATCGTTTTGAATTAATTAATCATGGTTTCATTTAAATTTTTGATATCTCTAGTACTTTTGAGAGCAATGAAGTGGCAGACCACATTTTGGGATTGGCAGGATTACGGCTATTTTGTGATAATTGTTGCATACAAAAATATTGCTAAATCAGCTATTTCTAAGGTCAAAGACTGCTTTGTAGTTATCAATCAATTTATTTTATTCTGGGTTATTTAGAATAGGACTGTATCATTTACAAAGTTGTTAGGACGGGGGGAGGGGGGGATAAAAATCGTTTAAGAGAGACTGACCCAAATAGTTCTCGTTGCATGATCTTTATGTTCTAGGAGCTAGCGCTGGAGTGTTTGTTGTGTTCCTCACTGCTGAGTGGAAAGGACAAGATCTGCTTCAGTATGTTCCTATTTACAACAGGTATTAAGACGTAATTAAGACGTATAATTCTTTCCTGAGTTAACATATTTTTTAAGGGATTGGATTATAAAAACTTACTTCAACCTCTTTTTTAATTACCCAGGGGTGTATAATTGCATAATTTTTCTCAGTTGCTGAATTGGGGCAAAATAAATGAATTTTTAGGGTTAAAATATATCACAGGGTAGACAAAATATTTGCTTCTAATTTCATAAATAAATATATGAACGAAATAAAATAATGGGATTAAAACGTTTGCAACTCCTGGAAACTCAATTTTTTTGTGTGTTCGGCATTTCCCAAAGGCATTTTCCCATCCCAGGGGCGGCTTTCCAAGTGGCAACTTCCCAAGCTTAGGGCCGAGTGCTGAGTCTAGAACATTGGGAAATGGCACATTTGGGAAGTTGCCACTTGGGAAAATATCCTTGGAAAGATGTCGTTTAGGGAGAAAAAAAATACCAAACATCATTTTTTTGACTAAAAGTTCTGCTAACAAAAATTAATTTATTTTATTAGTCTATTGAAATTATAGACATGATTTATTTTGTAAAATAATTTGTTTCAATTTGTATTTTTCATTATTAAAAAATAACTAGTAAACTTATTTTTAAATAAAATAAAATAAATCTTGTTTTCTTTCAGGAAATACTTCGAGGAGAAGGAGAGAGATATGTAGATTTTCTTCGAATTAATATTTATGTAGTTTATTCTAGTAGTTAAATAATACCTGCGCTTTTTCATCACTTTGAAATGTCATGTCTGTCATTAAATATTAAATAAATATATTTAAATATGCATTGCCCAATTTTATGTTCAGCTTTCAGAGGAAAATGGTTTTAAACCCCACAGCTGATGTTGACGGACCAGATGCGATGTTTGAACCGAGCGCGGAGTTTATGCGCGTACCTGTTGTCGATGTGCACAAAGGAAATCTTGCTGCGCACCTGGAGGAAATGAAGAAAGCTATTTCTAGTGCTTCATTCATTGCTCTTGACTGTGTAGGACTCTAAATTAAACTGGGGGNATTATTATTTTCACCTCTTAAATATCCCCCCCAGATACTTTAACTTTGGATATACTAAAGATAATCATTTGATTTTTTAAATTACTTCTGCTTGAATATTTTTTTCTGGAAAAATGTAATCCGCTAGATTTCTTCAAAACACTGTCTTTGAACTAAAAATAGAAAAATTTCTAGGGGTCGCATCGGGTCTTTTTTTATTCATTTCCGCCAATTTATTTAAATTGTAATTCATTTTATGTTTCATGATGACAGTTTATTCAACGGAAATAATTTTTTTTTTTTCAAAATAATCCCAGCAAATAAAGATTCCTTTCCTCCTTCCCTTTTAAGTTGTACAAAAGAATCCATGTTATATTTAGGAATTAAGTGGACTCGGTGACAGAAAGAAATTAAACTCCCCAAGTATTGACGACAGGGAGGGTTGGAGTACATTAAACATAATAATTCATTTATTTAGAAGTCTGGACTTTTATGTTACGAATCTTGAAATAAATCATTGATCCTCATATTATGCAAGACTATTTTAATCCCTCTTCAATATCCTATAATGATCATACCATGCGAGGACAACTTTCATTGAAGGATCAAGCATTGATCCCACAATGGATATCGACATCAAGCATTCAAGATTAACGATACTGATACGATAACGATCAGTCTGATCCGAAAGGGGGAGGGGGGAATTGAATATTTAAGGTAATAAATACCCTTTTTATAAGTAAAGATGGGCATGTTATTAACCGTTCGGTTTCTAGCTAATAACTTAACGATTTTTTGTTTTTGAACGAAATAACCAGGAAATCAAAAACTTTCATTCGGGAACATTTCTATTCCAAGTCCTTTTATTACCGTTCAAAAAACACTTTTTTATAAAAAAATTTTATAATTTTTTTTATAAAAAATTTCCAATATAATTATTTAAGAAGGTCAAGTCACAACGGGAAAGNATGTGAAAATACAAAAAAAGAAGTATTCATGGTTACCTACAAAGGGTGAAACTTCAAAGACGACTGGACAAGTTTACTTCTACTTCTCATGTTCATAGATCTCTGCCGCTGTAAATTCTTTGATAAATCTTTTAGTAATTCATTTGAAGATAATTTCAAGCGCAGAAACCTTATTTCAATCTTCAGAACGTCATATTTCAACATATTTTTAATTCCCCCAAGCCCCCTCAAATAATTTTTTTATTTCCTTCCCCAAATTTTATAACTAATAAGACATCTTATTTTAAATATTTATATTGGAGTGTATAATAATCCCTAAAATGATGCATTAAAAAAGCATAAACGGCGCCACAGAGAAATTTTTTTTTTTACTTTGGTTAATGGTTTGGTGGCAATGCCAAAAAAGTCCGGATTGATTATTTGTCAGTCCAGAAGTTTATTGTTTCTTGGAATTCATTTCCCATCATTATTCTTTGGGGAGAATTTGTGAAACTTTTTAATAGGTTTGACTATTTAGAAACAGTTTTAGTAATGCGCATTCTTTTATCAAGTTTGTCATGAAAAATTTTTAACACGATTTTTTGCTGCATTTTAACTATTGGGGAAAATTATTTATGAAAAACTCTCTGATAAAATTATGTAGAGGTATAGAGCTCTAGTCCTTCCCTTCCCTATATTTCCCTTTCCTTCCCTTCCTTATCTGCCAACCTTCCATCAATTCTCTACCTTCCCCTTCTCTTCGTTCCTCTTCCCTTTCTACTCTACCTTCATCTTACCTTCCCCTTCTACTTCCCTTCCCTGTCCCTTCCGTATTTACCAATATTCCTCTTTCCTTCTCAACCTTCCTAATTTCCTCTTAACCTTCCCCCTTCTCAATCTTTTCCTTTCTCTCCCAACCTTCCCCGTCCCTACTTTTCCTCTTCCCCGCCCTTCCTTTTTTCCAATGTTACCCTTTTCTTTTACTTTTTTCTTCCCCTTTTCCTTTCATTTTCCCCATCCCTTATTCCCCCTTTTCTTTGCCCTTTTCCTTCTCCTTCCTTTTTTCACTCTTATTTCCTTCCCTTCCCACTTTGATTTCTTTCCCCCCGGGAAAAAGAATTTTACACCCCTGGTAGCAGGTTGTCATTTAAGTTTCACCCTTTGTGGGTAACCTTGTATATATACCCATCTTCTTTTAAGTATATCTTAAAAAAATATCTCTCCATCTTAAATATTAAAGATACAAGAACACAGGACTAGTTGCAAGAACAAGATCAATCATATCTCTGGGTATCTCTACATTCACATTACACAACCCTGCTCCTGGTTCATCAGAGAATAGTGCTCAGGGTTCACCGGAGGGTACAGAGAAGTCATGGAATTACAGGAATTTTTTCAATAAAGAATTTCATTTTTCTCCCAAGCTTAGTTATTTTCCCAGACACTGCACGAAAAGCATGTAATTTTTCTAATTTAATGTAGGGTTAAAATTATATTCAAGATTTCAGGGGAGAATTATATTGTGAAGCATAAAAACCTTACTTTTTTGCGCCGAGTTTTAATTACAAAATTTGAAGATATTTGACAATTTTTTATTAAAGATTGTTTCAAAGTTTTCAGAATCTCATTCAAATTAAAAACTTAGAAAGTCTTTTCGGTCTACTAGATTATTTAATTTAATATTAAAGGGGTACATTATTATTTTCACCTCTTAAATATCCCCCCCAGATGTTGGTATGTGTGCGGTGTGGTTTTATTTGCTTATTTGGGGTAAAAGGGTAAAAAAAATGTCAACTGGTGATCTGTTTTCATTTTTTTTCCATCAGATCAGCAAACATCATGACCCTAACTCTTAAAATTTTAATTTAAATAAGTAAACAAAATCTATATTTATATTTCATTTTTATTGAATAAGTTCAGGGTGAATTCATTTAATATTATGGTTCTTTGTGCAGAGGATTATATTGTAGAACCTGGCTCCCTTAGGTAATCAATCATCCATCCATCCATCCATTTATCTCCATCCTTTCATTCATTTTCTCTCATATTCATCCATAATTTCTTTTATCCGTCCTCTCTTTATATCATCCTTTCAGTCATCCTCCCTCAAATTCATCCATAATTTCTTTCATCCATTCTCTCTTTAGATCATTCTTCCTTTATACTCTCCTCCTATTTATCTGTCATCCCCTTAGACATCCCCTTTCATTCATCTTGCCTCCCTAGACTCTTAAGTATCTATTTGATTGATTGATTGATTGATTGATTGATTGATTGATTGATTGATTGATTGATTGATTTTGTTTAAGGTTCCTTGTAGAGCATGGGTTTGAGTTTGAGAAACAATATTCTCTTGGTGTACCGTATACACGTGGAAATGATAGGTAAGAAAACGACATTTTCTAGAATTTATTTTAGAAAGTATTTAATTTCTACATTTAAAAAGTATTTTTATTATTAAAATTCCCTTTCTCAATATGGTGCGATATGTTTCACAATATTTCTAGTATTCAATACAATCCCTAAATAAATTTCAAATAAGCTAATATGTCTAATAAATCTATTAACTATTTTTATATACTCAATGAACTTTTATATACTCATTGAACATATTATATACTCATTGAACTTTTTATATACTAATGAACTTTTTATACACTCATTGAACTTTTTATATACTCAATGAACTTTTTATATACTCATTGAACTTTTTAAATACTCATTGAATTTTTTATAAACTCAATGAACTTTTCATATACTCAATGAACTTTTTTAATACACATTGAAATTTTTATATACTCAATAAACTTTTTATATACTCATTGAACTTTTTATATACTCATTGAACTTATTATCCTTAATTAATGAACTGTTCAGGGAGGGTGAGGAAGATCAGACCTTAAGAGAACTTTTCTCTCACATAGTAAAGTCAAGAAAGGTAATTTTTTTTATTGCATTAGAGACATTTAAAAATTAATAATCAAAACCAAAGAAAATTCTTTTAAAAACCTAAGAAGAAAATGTGAATGTTTTTGTACTATTTTTATGTGAAAATACGGTTCAATTGAATTAATTAATAGGCAGTTGTACTTCACAATGGTTTGATAGACCTGGTTTTCATTTATCATAATCTTTATGCTGCTCTTCCTGATAAATTAGGTGGAGTACATTATAGTTATTGTTATCGTTTTTGTTATTGTTATTGTTATTGTTATTGTTGTTGTTATCGTTATATTGTTATTGTTATTGTTATTGTTATTGTTATTGTTATTGTTATTGTTATTGTTATTGTTATTGTTATTGTTATTGTTATTGTTATTGTTCTTATTTTTATTGAATATAAGTGTATAAATTAGGAACCTTTATATCTGACCTATCTGAGATGTTTCCTGGTGGTATATACGACACCAAGTACATTGCCGAGTTCGTGTCCAGGGCCCAGGCCAGCTTTCTGGAGTTCGTCTTTAGAAAAGAGTAAGTACCAGGGCCCCAGGGGACTTTAAAGGGATTGTTCATACAAGAGGACTGAACTGAAAGAGGTCGTCAAATGTGTAATCATTCATTAAGAGAATTCCGGGTTTTATATTTTGTTGAAAAATCCCCCCTCCCCCTATCCTCTAATTCTCTTGATTTATCCTCTAATCCTACTGTTCTAATCCTCTAATCCTCCTGATCTATCCTCAATCCTCCTGATCTATCCTCTTATCCTCCTGATCTATCCTCTAATCCTCCTGATCTATCCTCTAATCCTCCTGATCTATTCTATAATCCTCCTGTCCTCTAATCCTCCTGATCTATCCTCTAATCCTCCTGATCTATTCTATAATCCTCCTGATCTATCCTCTAATCCTCCTGATCTATCCTCTAATCCTCCTGATCTATCCTCTAATCCTCCTGATCTATCCTCTAATCCTCCTGATCTATCCTATAATCCTCCTGATCTATCCTCTAATCCTCCTGATCCTCCTGATCTATCCTCTAATCCTCCTGATCTATCCTATAATCCTCCTGATCCATCCTCTTATCCTCCTGATCTATCCTCTAATCCTCCTGATCTATCCGATAATCCTCCTGATCTATCCGATAATCCTCCTGATCTATCCGATAATCCTCCTGATTTATCCTCTAATCCTGATGTTTAGGCAGGTTGTGAACGTGTCTAAGTATAGGGCGGGAAGACCCCATGTCAAGGTTGGGTTTGAGAATACGGAGATGAAGGATGTGGATTGGAGACATTGTGGAGAGGAGAAGGTCAGCTCAGGTAGAATATTGTCATACATCTTATTGTTTAAAGGGACTGTAAACGTAACTTTAAAGTGGTATGTCCGATTTACTATAGTTCCCTTTAAACCTTTGTCTGATCGAGCAAAGATGATGAATTAAATTAGATTATTGCGGATTTATGTAACGGAGAGGAGGAGGAATGAAACTTGAGAATTTAAAAAAGACAATATCTTACTTATTTTGCATAGTGGTATAATACAGACTGTAAATCACTTGTTAAGTTGTGATTAATTACATCTACATTCTACAGTCCCTTCAAGGAATAAACCAGAATAGAATGTTTGTTTATAAGTTGAAAATATTATGTCAGTACTTTAAGAATGTTAATTTAAACATCATCAATCTATTCCTGACAGTACGTTAAGAATGTTTATTTACACATTAATCTTTCTCTGACAGTACTTTGAGAATGTTTATTTACACATCATCTATCCCTGACAGTACATAAAGAATTTTTGTTAACACATCATCAATCTATCCCCTGACAGTACATTAAGAATGTGTGTTTTTTTAACAATGCTCAATCTGTCTCTGACAGTACTTTAAGAATGTTTATTTACACATCAATCTATCTCTGACAGTACACGACGAATGTTTATTTGCACATAATCAATCTATTCCTGACAGTACGTTAAGAATGTTTATTTCCACATCATCAATCTATTCCTGACAGTACGTTAAGAATGTTTATTTACACATCATCTATCCCTGAAAGTAAATTAAGAATTTTTGTTAACACATCATCAATCTATCCTCTGACAGTACGTTAAGAATGTTTGTTTACCAATGATCAATCTTTCTCTGACAGTACTTTAAGAATGTTTATTTACACATCATCAATCTATCTCTGACAGTACGTTAGAATGTTTGTTTACGCATCATCAATCTATCCCAGACAGTACGTTAGAATGTTTGTTTACACACCATCAATCTATCTCTGAGAGTACGTTAGTATGTTTGTTTACGCATCATCAATCTATCCCCGACAGTACGTTAGAATGTTTGTTTACACATCATCAATCTATCTCTGACAGTACGTTAGAATGTTTGTTTACACTTCAATCTATCTCTGACAGTACGTTGAGAATGTTTGTTTACACATCATCATTTGTTTGCAATGTGAAACTATTCCTTACAGCACATCAAGACTGTTTGTTTACAAGGTAAAACTATCCCTAGCAGTACATAAAGACTGTTTGTTTACAAGGTAAAATTATCCCTAGCAGTACATTAAGATTGTTTGTATACAAGGTTAAACTATCCCTAGCAGTACATTAAGACTGTTTGTTTACAAGGTAAAACTATCCCTAACAGTACATTAAGATTGTTTGTTTACAAGGTGAAACAGTCTGCTTCAGCTACGCCCACCACGGGCACTGCCCGCTTGGTAACTCTTGTGTCAACAGTCACGATATTGATCATATTATCAAGTAAGTAAATGTTTTCCTTTTTTACAGTTTTCAGCAAATTTGCTTGGTATGATATTTTTCAATTTTAATTTTTTATAAGAAATAAGAAATGGACAAAATAGGCAATAGAGTTTTGGAGTCAAAAATTTTTCATTATTTGGCAAAAAATTATGTTTAGATTATAAACACCATTTTAGGAATCGAGGCGAAGAGAAGATGAAGAAGCAGAAGAAACGAAAGAACCCTGAGGACGAGAACGCTGAGAACACCATCGAACCGGTTAGTGACGCCGCCGGTGATGCCATTGAGACACAAATAACGTCGCCGCCTAACTCTGGCGGCCATCGCGCCGGTTATGACGCTTTTATGACCGGATTCGCGTTCTCCACGTTCTTAGTTCATCAGACACAGATCCCGCGTAACCCTGGAGACTTCTGCCCGGTCAGCATACGCTCAGAACAGCTGGTCAACAGAATATACCTCACTTGCAAGGTTAGAACATCCTTTTCTCCATTAAACATGCCAGAAATTCGTTTTTTCGAATTTGATTAAGATTTCTCGCGTTAAATTGTGCGATCTTCATTTTTCAACGTTTTTTTTTTAAATAAAAAGACAAAGTATTTGTTTCAAATTTGTGTACACTTTTGTGGCAAATGCCCCAGGTTGCAACAAAATATAGAAATATTGTCTCACAAATAACTCTCAGGCTAATATTGTTCTCTATGGTGTCAGTTTTCACAGGATATTTTTTTTTTATAAAACCTTTGACAAGTGGTCCTGCAAGGCCGGCCGTGCAGATCGCAAAAAAGTCTACATAGCTCAAAAAAAATATTTATCATGTCATATATAGTTTTCTGCGTAATTGTCTAAAAAGATTATTTCCATTGAAATTTTTGAAAAATTTCAAAAATTGACTGCATTAGGTTAAAAAAACATCAAAAAAGTACTTTTCTTTAAAACTATAATTTTGACGTGTTTTTTTTAGGTCTAACTTAGTCAAATTTTGAAATTTTTAAAAATTTCAACGGATCTTTTTAGATAACTACAAAGAAAATGATATATGACATGATAAATTCAAGAAATATTTTTTTTTTGAGTTATGTAGACTGTTTTACCTTGCCTTCTACGACCACTTCCCAATGGTCTAAAAAAAAATCTTGTGATAACTGACATCATAGAGACCAATACTAGCCTGAGAGTTATTTGTGGAAAGTCGGACTGAAAAATTTACATTTTTTTATGACTTTTATAAAATAAAATGATACAAGGCATACATATTTAATAATTTCAAATGATCATCTATTTTCTCCTTTCTCCATCTACGCGTCTGCAGGTTCTCTTTTCTCGTTTCTTTTTGGCCGTCCATTTATGACGCTGTTTGTTGAAATAATGTTTACGAGTGGCTGTCTTTGCGCCATTTGAAAAGTTTCAAGTAGGGGGGGTATAATCTTGAAGATAAATGTACATTGTACACGCCTTTTCTGTTCAGGATTTCCCGATGTTGGTTCAGAAATCTGCTTTCTCCAAGTGCTCGTCTGAGCACGCAGATAAAATGAAGAGACTCGGAATACAATAATTCCCACCAATCATACTAGAACTAAGGAGAGAGGATAATTTTTGTTTATATTTTTACTAACCGGTGTTCCACGAAACATGACAGTTGCGAGATGGTTTAAAGTTCGTCTTTGGTTGTTGAAAAAAAAACCTTATTTTAGAAGTAAATTTCCAATCACGAAAAACTCGTACTGGTATTTCTAAAATGTGGTTTGCCTTTTTTGTGTTTTCAAAATTACTAAAGATATCAAGAATTATGTTTAGATTTCGACAATTTAAAAAGAACAGACCCCATTTTGGAAATACCAGGACAAGGGGAATTTTGTGATTATTGTTTTAAAAATCCTACATTGTAAGAGTAGGTTGATGAATGAATGCCACCAATTATTTTAAAAATAATAGACTATAGCTATCTAGACTATCATGTTTCGTGGGACACCCTATATGGCATGAACATTGTACCGTGTACATGCAGGGTTGGCCACAAAGGATACGACTTCAGGAGACGACAGTACACTCTCTTTCCTTCCATCTATGGTTCCCCGTAAAAGATTATATTTAACCCACGTATCTGATAGTTTAAGATTCATACTTTCTGGGTTACCCCGTATCAGCACAGCCCCAGGAACTGGTTGTATTGTAAACAAACAAATGGTCCATCAAGACTCGACCTGTTTGTTTACAATCTTTGTTAATGTTTGCAATTAAACCTGTTCTTGGTACGCTTGAAATGTAAAGAAACCCATTCTAAATTATAGATAACTCCCATTTTTTACTCCGCATTTATTTTTTCATCTGAAATTTTCAATATTTTCCATATTTCTCAATGTTATGTGTCTTATATGTCTTAATTCTCCAATTTATTTTTCAGTTAATGCTTTTTGTTAATAGTCGGTTAAAGACGATATTATTTTTTAACAAGATGAAAATACATTCATTGAAAGAAAATAAGACGTTAATTAAAAAGTGTCGAGAGATTTATTTTGTAATTTAAATGAGCATATTCTGAAATATAGCAACCAATATCTCACCAGGATATAGAAATATCATTTGACTGAAACCTGATACAAATCACTTATGCTTGAAAACCATGAACAAGTGGAACACTGTGATCTAAGGGAAATGACATTTCATGTGTATTTCCTGCATTCCTGCATATCAGCATTTTTTAAAAATTTAATTCGAAAATTTTTCTGTATTTTCAATTAATTTTTGATGTTAGATGTTTTTATTAAATTAATAATTTTAAAATTTCTTCAGGGTTGATTTTATCTTTTATGTCATTTTAAAGCTTCATTTAGAGATAAGATTCAGAAAACTTAATAAAAATTTCCAGAAAAAAAAATCTTAAAAAACATTAAAATACGGGTATATTCGTGTCCTACAAATAGTTCAATTTTTATAAAGGGGGGGGGGGGCACAACACGTATTAAAATTTAAACAGTTTATAAACATAACTTAGCATTGTCCTAGGAGGCTGATTTTTTGCATGCAAAAACAACCCACGATATCGTTAATGAAGGGTCGTAGTTAACTATCGTTAACAAAACGACGAGATTTCGTCGTCGTTTTCGAAACGATCGTTTTTCAAAAAAATGAAAACGTTAACATCCCTATGTGCAAGATGCAGATTTGGTGAGAATATTCAATGTGATCCTAAAACCATAAAAGCAAGCCAGAAGAAGCCTTTTTTAATTAGAATATATTGTAAGAATTGTTTTCAAATCTATATCTTACAAATTAAAAAAGATTCTGAAATCATTGTATTCTCATTTCCCCATAAATTTAGGTTAAATACAAAATGCGCTTAATCCTATGTAGGTTATAGCCCTTTATGCATATCTTTTACTCTCATTGACCTAATTAGCGCATTCAATGCAATGATATTTAACACCTAGTTTTAGTTCATATAGTATGTAATATTATTTGATATACACGGTATCCCAATAATCATGGTAATTTCAATTTCAATGGAATGGATATGTAAAGTTTTTTGACGTATTAAAAAAATGTTTTCTAGGGCAAAAAACTAGTTCAATTTTAATGAAAAAGTCATTTTTGTCAATACTTAAAAAATTGACTGATTTTTACGATTTCGTAGTTTTCGACGTTTTTTCTAACCATTTTTATATATTTTAAGTCGTCTTTTAATTCTCATGCTTAGAGGGACACATTGTATTTGACCTAGAATAGAAACATTAGGTTTATAGGTTAATCCAGCGAGGGAGGGGGTGCAGAGGCGCCATGATCTCCGCAAAAATGACCTCCGAGCCTCCAGATTTGCAGAGTGACCTCCAGGCCCCACGAAACTGTCTATGTGACGTCACCACGCCCTGCATTTTGGCTCCAATAAAAAATATTTGTCTTTTATATCCACCAAAAACCTTTTTTTCAAAAATTCTCAACATTACCCCCTCATCTGAGCATATGACATATATTATTAGGCTAGAATATTATTAGTCGTCGTTTGTATGTCGATAAGTTTTAAATAACTTAAAGCAAGGGCTATTCCATGGGGGGAGGGAGGGACCTGTAAAAGAGAACTTTTTCCTTTTTTCATCTCATAGAATTTAAGTTTAAGTTGAGTTTTTCATTTTCAAAAATGTGTTTTACTAACGATCTAGTTTAAATATTAACAAAACAATATAATAAAATGTCGATTTTTTAGAAACAAGTTTTTTTCTGCTAGTTTTGTTTAAAGGAGAGATAAAGTATTACTTGCAAGGTTAATTATTGGACTGTATGTGTACTTCTGAGAATTAAGAGACCACCTGAAAATCGTCTTTGTTTTCCGACAATTGATAAATTAATCAAAAAAAAGATTGAACGTCTAATACGCTTTTTAAAATCTACCTTCTTTTTATATTTTTAAAACTGACGGAAATATAAAACATTTTAACAATTAACTGGTATCTGGACAAAATTCTTAATATCTCCGGCAATTTTTCAGGTGAAAAAATGGTAGACCACGTTTAGAAAATTTCTAGTTTTCGGTTTTGAATGTTTCGACTGTGATGCTACAAAATTATATTTGTGAAATAATCTCGCTTGGAACAAAGACGATATAGAAGTCGTCATTTAATCCCCATGTGGATTGGAACACCCTGTAAAAAAAACCTTGATAAAAATCAGAAACAATCCAGCCCCTGAAATTTTTGTGGTAACTATTTTGTATTTGGTAACATCAGCTCAAGTCACAACGTAATTGGGGAAAGTCACAATTTCTATCACCTAAAAGTTTAGCTTTTTACGTTGCTTTGAAGGTTGTCTGGTCCCTATTATGTGCCTCTGAAGGTTGTCTGGCACCTATAATGTGCCTCTAAAGGTTGTCTGGCCCCTATAATGTGCCCCTGAAGGTCGTGTGGGTGGTAAATCACAATGTGTGTGTGGCCCCTGATCGAAGGTCATGTACCAAAGACTGTAAATATAAGACGGATTTCTGAAAAAAATTTCCATTGATGTTAATGAACAATGTTTCTTATGTAACAATTTTCTACATTTCGTCAATGGTTTATAATATTTGTCAGAATCTATGTCTAATAACTATGGCAGTTCAGTGGTATCAATGTATCCTATTTGTCTTAATATCTATGGCTATGCCAGGTCTCAGTTATTTGTCTTTATATATTTGACAGGTGCGCGTCTGGGACTATTTTATTTGTATAAAGCCTATAATGTCTGTAAAAGGTGCCTAGGATTATATATCTTTCTTGTCTATCGGCGCATAATGTCTATGGCAGGACCCGCGGCCTCTCATCCTCGGGTTTTATCTCACAAAACGTGGTGAAACCAGTAAATGTCGGCTATTACGTCAGAAAACTTCTCAGCTGAGATCTACTCTTCATTCTATTTATATTCTCTTCTAGAACTTCTAGAGGGTTCAAGATACACGCAGTTTCAGGTTGGAATACGAGGGAGAAGGTATCTAAACCTAAAATTTGCCTAATGTAAGAGGGAAAATATTTGAAATGAAAGACTAGCTCTTACATAAAGATGTTTGTACTTTTGGGTTTTTTACAGAAAAGAATTTATAAAGAGAGATAGGTACAGAAAGAAAGTTATCCAGCAAAGTATTTGAATGAATGGATAGAAGGAAATATTAAGAGAAAATATGAAGAAGAAGAAAAAGAGTGAATAACAGGAAATATGAAAAAAATATGCACTTTTTACATTTTTACAAGAAAGTGAGAGGAAACACACAGAAAAAAATATGCACTTTTTTGACAAGAAAATGAGAGGAAACACAGAAAGTTTATAGGAAAGTTTTGTGAAGGTTTTTTTTCCCTCTACACATACTTAATACTTCTATGCATTGTATAATGTAAAAAATATCTATATATATTTTAGATTTCATAATAGGCTTCTCTATATAATAAATTAAAGCATCCTTTACAAAGACTATATTAAAATTTTTACATTTTTTATGGACATTGTACATGGTTTTTTCTATGCTTTATGTTATTGCTAAGGGTTACCATCCAAGGATTATACTGTAAATACGAGATTAAATGATTTTGTCTGGTTAAGATAAATTAACAAAATGGTTTATTTAATGGTTAGTCAAAGAAAGAAACAAGTTTACAGTTGTAGAGAAGCGTGAATATAAGGCATAAGACAGTATCATTCCGCACAGTCTAGTCTCTAAAGTCCTTTGTGGGTAACCCTGTATAAGACGTATTCCTTTAAATCATTTACTTAAATTAGCAGTGTGCTGTGTGTACAATTAGGGTGCTTTGTGTATAACTGTGAAATGAATTATTGAAATTATTTAGATAATTTGCACTGTTTGGCATTTCAGGCATATGTTCTAATTTTGTAAATTGATCAATGATCATTGAGGAACCACATCAAGCCTTTTTACTTTATTCGGAAAAATATTTTTTTTTCAAATGTTGCAATTTTTTTTTTAGATATTTTCCGATCACTTTAAAGAGTGTTGGAAGGCCAGCCACAGCAAATCCTCGTCTGAGCCACATTCTCCTCATTTTCTCGTCCGAGCTCTTCCAAATCCTCTTATTTTTTTAAGTGTCTAATCCTCCCAGATATAAAAACTATTTTTTAAGAATCAGTCCAAGTTAAGGCATAAATGAAATATTGAATTTTTGTAAATCGATAAAAATAGGATTTCAATTTTGATTTATATCAAGCTCTCATACAGCATAGATACACATAAACGTAGAAGTCAAGAGAACCTGTCAAATAAAAAGCTTCTCTTTAATTACTTGTAAACTTGTAAAACTTAAATAAAAAAGTCGTCTACAATGTTTCGATTCAATCGTCTACCACTGTATATATTAAGAGTTTTACTTATTCTTGTTTGCTGTGCATCTAGAATTACAGTAGTTTAGACCTCAGACAAACAAGCATAAGTATATTTTTTTTTGGTCCCAACTTAATACCATTAAAACTTAGCAGTTCACAAATATCTTGAATTTTTTTTACAAAAAAAACAGTTCTTAGGATCTCCATTTCAACTCATGAACATTTTTTAGAAGTTTTGCTAATTGCTCTTAATAGAAAACAATTTTTCAAAATTTCCTTCTTCTTTTTTTGTTAATTTTTATATAAAAATTTGTTTTTCTCCGACTTGTGCGTAAAGTCAAAATCAGAGAAGCTACGACGGCACAAAGTCGTACTGTTCCGGCCCAAAATTGACATTTTTCTTCTGTTTGTGCCAAAAACTCATAAATAAACCACCCTCCCCCTTACTTCCAATGAGGAAGGTGGGGATTTCCACCCTAAAGATGTAAAATAACGAAAAATAAGCGTCGATTTAATTACTGTTCTCAGCGAACTTAAAGTAAATAAGAATTTTCAATTTATGAGATATTGTAAAATTTCTAGTTTTCATTTTAAGCGCACGTATGAGAAAAGCAAAGGAATTGATTCATTGCCACAAATTCAAATTTTCTAATACCATGTCTTTGCAAACTGATATTTCATATTTCAAACTTAGATTATTAGACCGAGCAGGATCCATAGTTGGAAATATCTAAGGTCTTTGGAGTTTGGTTGTAAAGACATTGTAATTGGAAAATCAGAGTTTGTGGCAGAGACTCAATGCCTTTTTTCGGTAACATATTAGAAATTCAACGCGTTCTGTTCTTTTCCATAGCTCTTTGATAAGAGGCGTGATGATTTTAAAGATTTTAGATTCTTAACTTGCGTGAAATTTACTTCAGTTTAACGTGGATTCAGTCCATGTATATTTTAGTAGATTAATTCCAATTCCAGGTTAATTTACCGCTTTTAGATCTGCAGTTAGTTACCGGGCTTAAACCATAACGCTGTAATCTCGATTTCTATAAATATTCGCTTCTTATTTCAATTGTGATTGTGGATGAATTTGAATTAATTTTTTCGAAAAAAGTATAATAATTATAAAAAATAAATAAAATTTATTTGGCACTGCTTAAATGAATAACAACATTTTTAAACAGATTTCAATTAAAGTGCCGGAATAACGTAGAACGCCAGAGGCTATTTTAACTCTTGTTAAGTATATGATTCTTAAAGCCAACATTTATCTTTGGTTGTATTGATTTTCTTCTGGTATCCATTTATTTAATTAAACTTAAACTTTCCAAACAGATATTCAACCTTTGAAATACTAAAATGAAAAGGTGATAAGATTTATTTTACTTAAGCCACAATTCAATACTTTATAAAGAAAAACATGAGCTTACCTTAAATTTTTTATTTAAAAAGTTCAGAAAAAGTTTATAAAGATTAAAGTTTATAACAAAAAACCCTGACTACATTTCAATGATAGAAAAAATGGAAAAATATAGTCTTGAACATTACTTACAGGTTAACCCACAAATGATGAGACTTCAGAGACGAATCCTAATATTAATGAGTCCCTGCAACTGTAAACTTATTTTTCCCTTTGATATATCATTAAATAAACCATTAGACTTAGTTTACCCATGGAACCCTCATATTATACGAGTTTCAGGTCGTCTTTACAGTTTCGTCCTTAATGGGTAACTCTGTCTTAAAACTTTGAATTGATATTCATAACGTACTTATATCGTTGTTAGTAGAAATAAATTATTCTAGTAAAGGTGTCAAATCATCGAAAAACGCAAAAATTTGATTACTTGGAAAATTTAAGTCAGCATTATTTTTTTTCAGAAAGGAAATATAAATAAAGTTTAAAAACGATGGAGACAAAAATGTTTCAATAAATAAACATACTTTTCTTCTTTTTAATCTTTATAACTGGTGAATTTGATCTATTCTAAATACCAAGCAAAGTGTTGAGTTGGGGCATGTTGAAAACTGAAACTTTAAATAACATAAGAAAATATATCTTTACACAGATTTCTAAGAATTGCGGATTTTCTATTTTAATGACGTCAGATATCTTTCTTTTGTACTTAAATACATCACATCAACTAATCTATATATATCTGGTATACACTGTTCTACATATATCTGATATACAAGGATCTAAAGGTTCTAAATATATCAGATGACGAGGGTCAACCCAGACCGAAATATATTTTCAATAAATGTGGAACTAACATCTACTTTTTTACTCTACAGAGGTTTGGTCCATCACCATCACCGAATTTTAAATACATCTGTTATAAAATGGTCTATTATCCTGGTGTACATGAATCGTGTAAAAATAGATCTGGTATAAGTGGATCTGGTATACATGGATCTGAATCTGATGTACATGAATTGAATCTCGTTTTCATTGGTCTTGTATATTTGTATCTGTTATACTTGGTTCTTGTATACTTGGATCTGGTATACATGCATCTGGTGTACATGAATGTGGTGTATAAAGATCTGGTATTGATGTTAATCTAGTGTACAAAGATCTGGTAAACATGGATCTGGTATGCATGGAGATGGTATACATGGATCTGGTTTATATAGGTCTGGTATAATTGGATCTATTTTACTAGGTTCACGTATACTTGGATATGGTATACATGGATCTGGAATAAATGGAGCTGGTGTACAAATATCTGGTATACATAGATATGGTGAAAAAATATCTAGCATAAATTAATCTGGTGTATCCATGGATCTGGTATGAATTAATCTGGTGTATCCATGGATCTGGTATAAATTAATCTGGTGTATCCATGGATCTGGTATAAATTAATCTGGTGTATCCATGGATCTGGTATAAATTAATCTGGTGTATCAATGGATCTGGTATAAATTAATCTGGTGTATCCATGGATCTGGTATAAATTGATCTGGTATGATCAGTATAATCCGTGAATTTCAAAACATTTTCAAGAATGCTCAAGCTTTCTTCCTTAGCTCTACACAGTCCGTGATATAGCGTCGACCTAGACAGAAATATATTATTGCTGAGTTGATTCTGTGTAATATAATACATTCATTACATTTTATATCATTAATTATCAAATACAAGTATATGGGTGGAGGGGGGGAGGGTAAAAACCCCTAAGGGGTTGTTTTCAGTTTCTTTGAAAAAACTAAATTTCTTCAAAATTCTAATTTTTTTCCTAAAAAGTGTTTTTTAAATCTGCACGGGCAACGCCGGCACTAGTAAAAAATATATTTGTCTGAACAGATATTTGTTTTAAAACCTCTCTGAATATATTTTAAGGAGATTCTGACATAACTCAATTTTTAAGAATCACTTTTGCAAAAACTCTGAAACTTTGTTATCTTGCAATGAGAAGTGGGAAGACGAACGTTTCATTTGAGATTTTTTTTTCAATTTTCCAAAATGTAAATATTATTTCATACATCAAAGAGGGAAATCCTTTAACTGGAAAACTGGGGGATTTTAGGGAAGATGAGGGGGGGGGGATTTGTATTTTATGGCTTCGTTAATTGTTGCATCTTTTTATGTATTAATTATTAACAAATACTTCACCGGGAAGAAATTTTACTTTACCAAGGGTTCCAAGACCAATTTTTGATCGTTTTTTGATGTGAAAATGTCCGATCTTTTTCTTGAAAAAATAATGTTAATGTTGGGAAAACCTCATGTTAATGTTGGGAAAACCGATTGTTAATGTTGGGAAAATCTAATGTTAATGTTGGGAAAACCTCCTGTTAATGTTGGGAAAACCTAATGTTAATGTTGGGAAAACCTAATGTTAATGTTGGGAAAACCAAATGTTAATGTTGGGAAAACCTAATGTTAATGTTGGGAAATCAAGTCGTTTATGTTGGTCAAAAGGCGGTAAAAATAAATACCATGCAATTTAAATGAAAGTTTTGCAGTCTTAGGTAGAAAACATTTTTCTTATTTTATTTAAACAAGTAAACTAATGTCTTTGATCGTAGATTTTAGACTTAAAGAGACTGCAGTATAATTTCAATTAATCCTTCAGCAACTTATATTATCCGTTTTTGAGTCTTTATCTAAATAAGAAGATATTAACTTTTTTTACCTCCCTTTGAACAACATTTTCAATTTATGATTTCCACAACAAAAGGACATTATGTTACTTTACGTATCTCGGGATAATTAAATAAAATAACCACCCTCTCTGCGAAGTTTTCGTCAACAAATTCACCCATTTTCATCTCAAAAGACGATAAATATCCTAATGAAGTTTGTAGAGATTTAAAAATAAAAATGATCATTTAGAAAATCTAATTATCCATAAAAAATTCTTTTCAAATCATTTTATTGAATGTTTCACAGAAACCTTTAATAACTATTTATAACTATAAAGGTTTTGGACTTCTCTTCATATATCTCGAAGGTTCTCGCTTCTTTAGATTATATTTTGTCCCCCGCTAAACCTCGGGACAAAATCAAATCGTAAAAGACTTAAACCTTCTCGATAAAGAGAAAATTTATGTCCTAAAAACTGCTGCGAACCAAAATAAAAGTGTTATAGGTAATTTTGTGAAACGTTTGTGTACTTGTTTTATTTCAAGCTATTTCTAGATCAAAAAAGCTTTGAAACAAAGTAGAAGTTGATTTCAATTTTATTTTCCTTTAAATTGAAAAAAAATATTTTGAAAATATGCTAAATTTTTTGGAGAAAATCCGGGAACCAATCAAAACTGCATAGCACACGTGCTTTAATGTACAGCTAATTTAACTGTATAGCACGATGATTACTTTATAGCACGTTCATTATGAAATTCACGATGAAGTGAGTAAGAATGATAAAGTACACAATAGTTTCATAAATGATAATTCTTTAGAAAATAATAAATTAATTTTAAGAAATATAAGAAAAGATCTATTTTGACCCTTTCTAGAATAATAAAATAAATTGGCATCATCTACATTTTTATTTTTATTAATTTTTCGTTTCGGAATTCGCTTTTTTCTAAAACGAGCGTTTCGATTTTTTGTAAAAAACTATCGTTTTTGATAACGAAGCAATCGTTTTGAAATTTTAAAATGCAAAAAAACGATTGATTTTTCTCGCTAACTAATCTAAATTTTATAACGATTAATTTCAATTGTTTTCTGGAAGATAATTTTATGAATGTTAGTCTTAATTTAAAAAAAATTTATATCGAGATTAATAAGAGATTTCTGATCTAAGAGATTTCTGATCCAAGAAATTTCTGATCCAAGAGATTTCTGATCTAAGAGATTTCTGGCCAAAGATATTTCTGATCCAAGAGATTTCTCATCTAAGAAATTTCTGATCCAAGAGATTTCTGATCTAAGAGATTTCTGATCTAAGAGATTTCTGATCTAAGAGATTTCTGATCTAAGAGATTTCTGATCTAAGAGATTTCTGATCTTAGAGATTTCTGATCAAAGGGTTTTTCCGACCAAAAATTTATTTGTCTTAAAAAGGTCGTTAACTATCGGTAAGGAATTGTCGTCGTTAACGATCGTCAAAAATACAAAAAGATCTACTTTCGTTGACGAAACGACGAACTTTTTCAAAAACAATCTTTTTCAAAAACGATCTTTTTCGTTCATTTAATTGTTTAAGCTACCTTATAATAATGTTTAAACTACTCGATATTTCAACCTTAAAACTACTCGATAAAATTATGGAAACAATCCTCGAGGAAAAGTATAAACTCGAAAATTATGATAGTATTTATTTTTCGACCAATTTCCCCTGAAAATGAATATTAGTTTGCATTTTTTTCAGGTTTGAAGAATACACTCAAGCTGACGATAGAATGAGTATAGCTTGCTCTTGTAATCGGTCACACATCACCCTCACCTCCCTCTCCTCCTCATTCATCTACAAGACCAGGGGGTTGGAGACAAAGAAGGTAATTGGATAAAAGTTTAAGTGTTGAATATCGATTTATTTGTTTAAAATGTTTAACAAATTGCTAAATAAATATTCTAATCCATCTCGCAGAAAAAATTCTCACACTTCATTAGCTGTGTCAAGTACAATATTCAATAAAATAAACTGGCCTTTTCACATTCGAAATATTTCACATAATGTGAGCCCTGCTTTGAAATCAGCTAATCAAGTATTTCAGTAAAAAATTATAATAAAATAAAATGACATGGGTCAAATTAAAAGTTAAGTTTTTTTTTACCGCTAAACCTTTCTTTCCGTTTCCATTTATAGAATACAGTGGAGCCATAAATCTAAGGACTAGGAAGACGACTTTTAAATTCGAGTTAGATAGTGTTATTTATATAGGTCAATGAGCATGAAAGACAACAATTGTGCAGTGTATCACATCACAAATACAAATGATTATCAAGATGATTTATAAAGGAAAAATAAAAGGCATCTTTTTGAATGTCGTTTTATTCCAAATATTTATGGGTCCCACTGTACCATCTTCCAATCTCTCCGCTCCATCTCGGAAAGATCTTAAACCACCTTCTTTCCCTCTCGATATTGTGTCAGTTGGCGCGCATCTCTCGTGCGCTTCAATTCATCTCTTCTCTCTTACGCGCGTTTTCTAAAAATGAATTCTTTATTTAGTTTCCTGATTTGAACTATAGGAAGAGAGCCGGGATTCCTTAGACGTGCTGTACTGTAGTGAAGAGGACCGTGTACTGTACTGCATTGTTCTGCAGTGTAAAGGACCTCTGTACACACAGTGCTCCGGAAAACTGTGTCTGTACTAAAGTGAAGTACAAGATACGATATTAATATATAGTTAGTAAAGTACACAAAAATTTCTTAATAATATCGTAATTATAAACAGTACGTGTTAATACAACTTGGGAAGTTGGGAGCAGTCTAACTATAAAAGGTAAATAAATCAAATAAGCAACTTGCAAGCAACAGTTTAAACATTAATATTTGACGCATTCATATTTTGACCGTTTTCATTTACAGTAAAGAAATCAAAAGTTCTATTTAGTAAAATTAGTTGTTAATTATAAGATATTTTGCTTAATTGGTTTCCGAATTTCCTCAAACAAAATGGTGGATAATAATTCTAGAATAATAATTTAATTTCGGTGAAAATAGAATTAAAATTAACTTATTTTTATTCATGCTTTGTCATAAGCTTCTTTATTATAGAAATATGTATAACATTAACACTCAAACATCTCATAAAACTACCTATAACGTTATTTTTCTCAGACGAAATGCATTTATTTTTTTCGAATGTTCTCGCGTTCTTAGATTATATTTTGTCCCGAGCTAATTAGCTTGAACCTTCGCAATAAAGAGAAAATTTCTTTTAGCTGGGAGCTAAAATGAGGGTGCTTTTATAAACAGTTATTTTATTTATTAATAAGTCTGAACACTTTTGGAATGGCATAAATATCATTAAAGGAATTGAGTCTTTCCCACTAACTCAAATTTTTTAATCCCAATATCTTTTCAACCCTATAGTGTAAACCGTTGATATTTCAAATTTAGATTATTTGATCGAACTAAATTCATAGTTTAGAATATCTAACGTCTACTTCATAGGATTGTAAAGATATAGGGATTAGGAGTTTGAGAGAGTCTTGAACGTCTACTTCATAGGATTGTAAAGATATAGGGATTAGGAAAATCAGAGTTTGTGGCAAAATTTCAATTCCAAACTTTTAGATTTTTTATGTCTAGGCTTTAAAATGCACGGTTCAAGAAGTGATAAGTCAGTCAAATCTGACTCAATGTGGTCTGTACTGCTTCAGGTACATAACAATTCATATCATGTATCATGTACATCGTATATCACGTGTATAGTACATAACCATTCATATCATGTATACATGTACATATGTTATCACGTGTCTAGTACATAACCATACATATCATGTATCATGTACATCTGTTATCATGCGTGTCTAGTATATAACCATTCATATCATGTATCATTTACATCTGATATCACGTGTCTGCTACATAACAATTCATATCATGTATCATGTACATCTAGTATCACGTGTCTAGTACATAACCATTCATATCATGTATCATGTACATCTGTTATCACGTGTCTAGTATATAACCATTTATATCATGTACATCTGATATCACGTCTCTGCTACATAACAATTCATATCATGTATCATGTACATCTAATATCACGTGTCTAGTACATAACCATTCATATCATGTACATCTGATATCACGTGTCTAGTATATAACCATTCATATTCTATCATGTACATCTGCTATCACGTGTTTAGTATATAACCATTCATATCATGTATCATGTACCATGTACATCTAATATCACGTGTCTAGTATATAACCATTCATATCAGGTAGCATGTACATCTGATATCACGTGTCTAGTACATAAGCATTCATATCATGTATAATATACATCTGTTATCCGTGTCTAGTACATAACCATACATATCATGTATCATGTACATCTGATGTCACGTGTCTAGTATATAACCATTCATATCATGTATCATGTACATCCGATATCACGTGTCTCGTACATAACCATTCATATTGTATCATGTACATCTGCTATTACGTGTCTGGTACATAATTATTCATATTATGTATCATGTACATTTGTTATCACGTGTCTGGTACATAACCATTCATATCATGTGTATACATGTACATCTGTTATCACGTGTCTAGCACATGTATCATGTACATTTGTTATCACGTGTCTGGTACATAATCATGCGTAATATATATCATGTACATCTGCTATCACGTGTCTAGCACATAACAATTCATATCATGTGTTTACATGTACATCTGTTATCACGTGTCTAGTACATAACCATTCGTATCATGTATAGATGTACATATGTTATCACGTGTCTGGTACATAATTATTCCTATTTTATCATGTACATCTGCTATAAGGTGTGTCGTACATAATTTCTGTTATTATATCATGTACATCTGGTATCACGTGTCAGGTAAATGATCAAAAGGCTCTTAAATAGAGGAACATTTTTTTATCCTTTTATTTCTAACCCCCCCCCCATCCTTTAGTTTTTAAAGAAATGGTAATATATGTTTACTTTGGAAGAAAGTCATCCATAGTCAAGTTTTTCAATAAAAAAGTTTTCGAAGCTGCTTTAAAAAAATTTTCAAAAGGATATTTCACTTTAAGATTATTTCTCTTGTAAAATTACCCCAAAATATTGTAATATTTAAAAAATATTTTGTTTTAAGATTATCATCAATTTTTAAACTGCTGAATGGTAGAAATCAGAATTTTTTTCTTCAGATTTTTTTAGCAGAGTTAGAAAAAAAATCATTTGATGATTTTTGTTATATTTAATGTATTACAATCTCTGCTTGTACTCAAGTACTACATATATGAATATATATTTACATATACATCACTCTTCACTAAACGCTACTATATCTTCGGTCACTGTACTGCAATGTACTGCAGAACGAACCGAAATGTTCACTTATCTCTGTATTGTATACTGTGCTGTAATGTGCTAAACAATGTACAGCCGTCTCTGTATATAATACGCAACAATCTCTGTAATGTTCACTAATTTCTGTATTGTACAGCCGTGTCTGTTATACAGAACAATCTCTATAATGCTCATTAATCTCTGTATTGTACATCTGTGTCTGTAATACACTAGTCTTTGTAATGTTTATTAATCTTTGTATTGTACATCTGTGTCTGTAATACACAGTAATACGCTAACCTTTGTAATGTTCATTAATCTTTGTATTGTACAGCCGTGTCTGTAATACACAACAATATCTCTATAATGTACACTAATCTTTGTTATGCACACTAATCTTTGTTGTGTACACTAATCTTTGTAATGTTCACTAATCTCCGTATTGTACAGCCGTGTCTGTAATGCACAACTATCCTTATAACATTCATTATTCTCTGTATTGTTGTACAGCCGTGTCTTTAATACACAGAAATCTCTGTAATGTACACTAATCTTTGTTATGTACACTAATCTTTGTAATGCACAGCAATCTCTGTATTTCACATAAGTTTATAATTGTATATATAGGTGTTCCCGACCTTTATTATTGCTGGTCTGGGAATGGTCGGAGCTGGTCTAGTGCTTAACAGTGTTCAGGTTCACATTCATATTAATATTTTTTTCATTCTTTCATTCATTGATTCATCCCCCCCTTTTAACCTGTTGATTTAGTCCATTTATTAACCCTTTAACCCTGTATTCATTGTATTCCTTGTATCTTTTGTAACCCCTTTAACCTCTGTATCCCTGTATCCCCTGTATCCCTGTATCCCTGTAATTTCAGTTTAAATATACATTTTAGATGTTTAAATATATATTTCTTCCAAGACAAAATGTTTCATGGATCTAACCCAATCATCAGTTGGAATAAAACTGACATATATATATATTTAGGACAAAGGACACATAATATCTCTAATGTCTATATCATTAGGACAAAGAATACTTTATTTATAAATATTTAGGACTTTTTATCTCTCTACGAGTGGATGCTATATTTCTCTATAATTAGGACAACGGAAGTTATATCTCTCTGCATTTAGGACAAAGGACACTAAATCTCTTTATAGTTAGGATAAAATACATTAATTGTTTAGGACAAATGGAGTTAAATCTCTATATATTTAGAACAACGGACAGTATATCTCAAAATATTTACGACAAAGGATTCGATATCTCTATATTTTAGGACGAAGGACGCTTTATCTCAATATATCTATATCAAGACACTTTATGTTTTTATATTTAGGACAAAGTGCACTTTATCCCAATATATTTAGGACAAAGGATGCTATATATCAATATATTTAGAACAAAGTACTCTATATCCCTCTATATTTAGGACAAAGGACGCTATATATCAATATATTTAGAACAAAGTACTCTATATCCCTCTATATTTAGGACAAAGGACGCTATATATCAATATATTTAGAACAAAGTACTCTATATCCCTCTATATTTAGGACAAAGGACGCTATATATCAATATATTTAGAACAAAGTACTCTATATCCCTCTATATTTAGGACAAAGGACGCTATATATCAATATATTTAGAACAAAGTACTCTATATCCCTCTATATTTAGGACAAAGGATGCTATATATCAATATATTTAGAACAAAGTACTCTATATCCCTCTATATTTAGGACAAAGGATGCTATATATCAATATATTTAGAACAAAGTACTCTATATCCCTCTATATTTAGGACAAAGGATGCTATATATCAATATATTTAGAACAAAGTACTCTATATCCCTCTATATTTAGGACAAAGGACGCTATATCTCTGATTTTGGGTAACCTTGTCCTAGTCCAGTGCCAGGGTATAGTTGTGGGCTTCCTGGCTTCTCTAGCTGGTATGGCGATGGGTTGGGCTCCAGTAGGTATGTACAATATTTAATGTACAATATGTACAATTTACAATTTGTACAATGTACAATTTACAATTTGTACAATGTACAATTTACAATTTGTACAATGTACAATATGTCCAAATGTTTCGGTATGCTCTCTGCGGTATGCACTAGTGGATGCTTATGCTCTAAAATTCTGTGTGCTCTATAGCTCGTTGACCAATTATATTATGTACTCTATAGCTCTATGCTCTATATAGTATTCCCTATGCTCAGTGCTCTATAAGTATATATCTCTATGGTCCCTCGGGCGTTTAAATCTTGTTCTTACTACTCACACAGATTCCTAGAGAGATAAGAAGAATAAGGAGAATACCGTAGAATACAAATCATAGATTTCGTTTTCCTAGAAAAATAATAATCATACTTTATTTCGCAACTTCTTGGTTTGTAACAGTGAAAAAGCTTATTGTGAGAGTTATTATTATTATTATCATTATTATATCCACAATTAATAATTTTAAAATCTTTATTATAAATAATTTATCACTATTATTTTTATCTATTATCATTTTTGTGGGACATCACATGACCCGGGAAGGTTTATCAGTTTTTTTTTGTAAAATTTTGAAAATGCGTTAAAAAATATTTTGAAATCCGCAATTTTTTTTGTTTTTGTTTAATACTGTACAAAGAGAAGATGCTCACAGATAAAGCCACAGTTAAAAGTTGAAGTAGAAGCCTTAAAAGCCTAGTAATATATACTTTGCTTGGGTGTCGGGTGTTTGTTCGTTTGTTTGTATCCAGTAAACGTCAAAACGGCTGAACCGATCGGGCCCAATTTTTTTGTGGGACCTCATGTGATCACAGGGAAGGCTTATGGATGATTGAATTTTTAAAAATTTCTTCTAACAAAATTCGATCTTTGAAAATTTTGAAAATCCACGAAATTTTTTTTTGCTATAAAATTCGCGAAATTATTTGTTTGTTGTTATTTTACAATGTGTACAAAGAGAAAATGTTCACAATATGTAATTAGCTAAAGTCCCCGGAGTTGCCAGGGGAATTTTTTAGTTAAAAGAAAAAATATTTTTTTTTATCCCAGGATACCCATGAGTTCCCTCAAATATGTTCGGTCAATTTGGTTCAGTCGTTTGGCCGGCTATAGCTGACATATGAATATATATATATATATGAGTGAAGAGCGAATAGGATTATATGTTCCCATAATTTGAAGGTCTTGTAGCATGCCCAATTGTAACTTCAAACTATTTCATTTCTTTCTAAACTTATTCTTCTTAACAGAGATATGATTTCAATTAATAAAAAATGTGAATATATATGTGTATCCTACTAAACATGAACACTTAAACACGACAAAGCATAATATTGAAAATGCATTCAAAATAACAGAAACAATAATTTTTGCATCAACCACTAAGCAAGAAGACCTTTTTTTCCAACATTTTTTCCACCTGACAAACGTCATTCACAGAATGCTAATCGACATTTTATTTTTACGTCATTTAAGTGTCATATTTTATGAGACACTCTGTAGCCGTATTACATAGTAAGATTATTATTATAATTATTTTAACTTTATCATATTTTATGAGACACTCTGTAGCCGTATTACATAGTATGATTATTATTATAATTATTTTAACTTTANTATCATCCTAGCCAGGTAAATAGTTGGACTTATCATGGTTATTGTTATCATCCTAGCCAGGTAAATAGTTGGACTTATCATGGTTATTGTTATCATCCTAGCCAGGTAAATAGTTGGACTTATCATGGTTATTGTTATCATCCTAGCCAGGTAAATAGTTGGACTTATCATGGTTATTGTTATCATCCTAGCCAGGTAAATAGTTGGACTTATCATGGTTATTGTTATCATCCTAGCCAGGTAAATAGTTGGACTTATCATGGTTATTGTTATCATCCTAGCCAGGTAAATAGTTGGACTTATCATGGTCATTTTTATCATCCTAGCCAGGTAAATATTTGGACTTATCACGGTTATTTTTATCATCCTAGCCAGGTAAATAGTTGGACTTATCATGGTTATTGTTATCATCCTAGCCAGGTAAATAGTTGGACTTATCGTGGTTATTGTTATCATCCTAGCCAGGTAACTAGTTGGACTTATCATGGTCATTGTTATCATCCTAGCCAGGTAAATAGTTGGACTTATCGTGGTTATTGTTATCATCCTAGCCAGGTAACTTGTTACACTCTTTATAGAAACATGACAAATATGACAAATTTGAAATGTTATAATAATAACTTAAAAATCCTTTATTTCTATTACTTCCATTCACCAACTTATTTGTTAATTTCTTACTCAGTGGCTCACTTTAACTCATTTTCTAACCTATCCTATATAATCCTATAAAATCCTATCAACCTCCTTAACTATTGACTCGTCCATAAAGTGACCTACACTATCCATTGACTGATTAATTATTGACGCACTAACTTTGTTTCAACTGACTTACAGGTGGACTCATCCATAAGTTACTTACTACTTTATCAACTGACTCACTTACTAAACTATCAACTCATCCACTTATTAAATCATTAATTAATTCAGTTACTACTTTTCAACTCACTCACTTATTGACACATACATAAATTCATTAGTACCAAGTCAACTCACTCACTTATGGACTTATTCATAGACTCACTAAATAACCTATCTACTTTATCACTTATTGAATCATTAATTAACTCACTTCCTTAACTCACTTTTTAAACTTACTCACTTTTAGAATCTTCCCTTAACTCACTTACTTCTTTTCAACTAACTCAAATATGGACTCATCCATAGGTTACTTACTTCCCTATAAACTAACACACTTATCTCTAGAGCCTTGAAGGTGAACCCTGACAACGTGGCGACCCCTATCGCCGCCTCCCTTGGTGATGTAACCACGTTATCCCTACTGGCCTGGATTGCAGATATTCTATTCAGACATCTAGAACTTAAGATGTTCACGGCGCAAATCATTATAGGTAATGCTAAGTACATCTAGGGATGGATCGTTTCCACTTTGTTGAAAAACGATCGTTTTGTTTTGAAAACGTCGAAGAAAAAACGAAAAACGAAACGATAATTTTATAAAGACGGTCGTTTTTAAAAGCTAACGTCTTTAAAAAACGATAGTTTTTCGTTTCTTGAAAAATACTATCCTATAAGAAAAACTATCGTTTTTCGTTTTTTGAAAGTTCAAACCGAAAGGTTCGTTTTCAAAAACGATCGTTGTTTTCCATAAACGAAAAGATAATTTAAAAAAAACGATAAACAACCCAAAGTACATCTCTATATAGTTCAACATAGTTAAGTTTAGTACAGATTAACTCAATACAGCTGAATAAAGCTCAATATCATACACCATAATTGGGTTCAATTAGAGCCACAATTAACCCAATTTTTGGCTAAACATAGCTCAATATAGATCTATATGCAGCTCTATCTATAAAAATCTCAGTTTTGGCAATTTTCTTTCAAAATATGGTTTACCTCAGCTTGGTTAAATAAAACTCATTATATTCCTAGAACGTATATTGTGAACTAGCTGAAGATAACCACGTTATCCCTACTGGCCTGGATTGCAGATATTCTATTCAGACATCTAGAACTTAAGATGTTCACGGCGCAAATCATTATAGGTAATGCTAAGTACATCTAGGGATGGATCGTTTCCACTTTGTTGAAAAACGATCGTTTTGTTTTGAAAACGTCGAAGAAAAAACGAAAAACGAAACGATAATTTTATAAAGACGGTCGTTTTTAAAAGCTAACGTCTTTAAAAAACGATAGTTTTTCGTTTCTTGAAAAATACTATCCTATAAGAAAAACTATCGTTTTTCGTTTTTTGAAAGTTCAAACCGAAAGGTTCGTTTTCAAAAACGATCGTTGTTTTCCATAAACGAAAAGATAATTTAAAAAAAACGATAAACAACCCAAAGTACATCTCTATATAGTTCAACATAGTTAAGTTTAGTACAGATTAACTCAATACAGCTGAATAAAGCTCAATATCATACACCATAATTGGGTTCAATTAGAGCCACAATTAACCCAATTTTTGGCTAAACATAGCTCAATATAGATCTATATGCAGCTCTATCTATAAAAATCTCAGTTTTGGCAATTTTCTTTCAAAATATGGTTTACCTCAGCTTGGTTAAATAAAATTCATTATATTCCTAGAACGTATATTGTGAACTAGCTGAAGAGCCCGGCGTTGCCCGTGAAAAAAAAAATTGGGGGAATTTTTTTAACCTTTATCAACCCCAGGCCACCCATTCGGTCCAGCCGTTCGGAAGACCAAAGAGAACATTTATTCGATTGTCTTGTTTTGTCAGATAAATGATACCCTGCATGGGATTCTATCCCGTATATATCATATATTAAATTTATATATATATCTATAGTTATCTCTGTTTGTTTGTTTGAATGTCCGACCATATTACTCCCGAACCCCTGGACCGATTTGCCTCAAAGTTTAAATTAGGAACTCGGTAGAACCACTGGAATGTGCTTAGCTTGGTTTAAAAATTCTACGTTGAGTTGACTATTTTTGTGCAAAGATGTTTACCTGGAATCTATAAATGTCAACTCACGCAACGTAGAATTTTTAAGCCAAGCTAAAAACATTTTCGTACATCTTCTGTGTTTCCTAATTCAAAATTTGAGGCAAATCGGTCCGGGGGTTCATGAGTTATGCTCGGACGTCCAAACAAACAAAAAGAAAACCAGAAAGTACTACTTTATCTGAAATTTAAAACACAAATTAGTTTTCCATTTTATTGCTGAGCAATATTTTTTGTGTTGCAATGCTCTGGTCAACCTAAAATTTTTACAAACTGTTCATATTGGGCCACATCACCCACAAACAAATTTGGTTTTAACCCCCTTCGTGTGTCAATTTAATATACAGTGTTTTCGCTGCATTACTAGCTGTACAATTGTACGTACATTGTCTACAACGTCTACTGAGTTTAGAATCTTTCTTACATATTGTCAAAAATTTCTTCCATCAATTTGCACTGTTTGTCTTTACTTGTCATCCTGTTTAGCGTTAAAACCTCGACGTGTTTGTCTAAAAAGAGAAAATTATCACGAAGTTGTTTTGTTTTGGATTTCTTGATGGAAGGGTTTAAAGAAATACAGATTTTTAATTAAAATTTCATTTAACAGATCAAAATAAACAAAATAAAAACGATTCTACAAGTAAAATCAAGTGAAGCTTTTTTGATAAATGATTATAATTCCTGATACTGCCTTTTATATCCACAACACAACCCCCAGTGTACAATTCAATGTACAGTGTACAATGTAAGGTACACAGTTTATATTTTTAGGATGTTATTTCTTGATACTCTCTGTATTTCGGTACAGTGTACAATGTACAATTGTACAGTGTACATGTTTATGATGCTATTTCTTGATACTCTTTGTATTTCTGTACAGTGTACAATGTACATTGTACAGTGTACATGTTTATGATGCTATTTCTTGATACTCTCTGTATTTCGGTACAGTGTACAATGTACATTGTACAGTGTATATGTTTAAGATGCTATTTCTTGATACTCCTTGTATTTCTGTACAGTGTACAATGTACATTGTACAGTGTACATCAACGAGGTTATAGTATAGTGTACATGTTTATTATGCAATTTCTTGATACTCCCTGAGCCTGAAACTTAGGACAGAGTATCGTAGTGAAACCCAGTTTCGGAAACTCGATTTCATGAATGGCTTCAGACAGTTTTGTAGATACCAATACCATNGTGTACAGTGTACTGTGTACAGTGTACTGTGTACAGTGTACTGTTTACAGTGTACTGTGTACAGTGTACTGTGTACAGTGTTCAGTGTACAGTGTAGTGTTCAGTGTTCAGTGTACAGTGTAGTGTACAATGTAAAGTTTACAGTGTACAGTGTACAGTGTACAGTGTACAGTAAAGTGTACATTGTACAATGAAGTGTTCAGTGTACAATTTAGTGTACAGTGTACAATGTAGTTTGCAGTGTAAAATGTAGTGTACAGTGTAAAATGCAGTGTAGAGTGTATGTACAATGTAGTGTACAGCGTACAATATAGTTACATGTTTAGGATGTTATTTTCTGATACTTCCCGTATTCTTGTACATGGCCTGGAGTAACCCCCACACTGTAGAAGTACTGCAAACAGGATGGACACCTGTACTTATGGCTATGCTAATAAGGTTAGTAATGGCCTCTCGAAAATAATGAAATGTTATGAAAATGTTTATTTGTTGTTAGTTTTAATTCCTTAAAAATGTTTTAATCATTTCCAAACGCTTGTTAAAGATTCTTGATTTTTTGTTGTTGAAAATCTTGAAAGTTTAATATATATCTTTTTAAATTTGTATTTTTTAAACTGTTTATTGGAGGCTTTACATATTTTTTGAACTGTTTACTGGAGGATTTACATATTTTTTAAACTGTGTATTGGAGACTTCACATATTTTTGGCTGTAAACCATATTGAACAAATACAAATATGCAATTCATTGTATTTTTAATCTATTCTCTATTCTTGTTATTCTTTTTCAGAGCCTAGTGAACATTTCTTTAAAGTAAAATCTTATATTGATGTTTTGCGCTGCAAAAACTGCTCTTTACTATTTCTCGCTCTGGAGGAGGTTTTATCCTAACTAATTCTAGTTCTGGGGGAGATTTAATCCTAACTATTTCTAGCTCTGGAGAAGGTTTAATCCTAACTATTTCTAGCTCTGGAGGAGATTTAATCCTAAATATTTCTAGTTCTAAAGGAGGTTTAATCCTAACTATTTCTAGTTCTGGAGAAGATTTAATCCTAACTATTTCTAGTTCTGGAGGAGGTATAATCCTAACTATTTCTAGCTCTGGAGGAGGTTTAATCCTAACTATTTCTAGTTCTGGGGGAGGTTTAATCCTAACTATTTCTAGTTCTGAAGGAGGTTTAATCCTAACTATTTCTATCTCTGGAGGAGGTTTAATCCTAACCATTTCTAGCTCTGGAGGAGGTTTAATCCTAACTATTTCTAGTTCTGGAGAATGTTTAATCCTAACTATTTCTAGCTCTGGAGGAGGTTTAATCCTAACTATTTCTAGTTCTGGAGGAGGTTTAATCTTAACTATTTCCAGTTCTGGAGGAGGTTTAATCTGAACTGTTTCTAGTTCAGGAGGAGGTTTAATCTTAACTATTTCTAGTTCTGGAGGAGGTTTAATCCTAACTATTTCTAGCTCTGGAGGAGGTTTAATCCTAACTATTTCTAGTTCTGGAGGAGGTTTAATCCTGGACCACGCTGTGGAGATGTTCAAGGGAATAACAGTGTTTGCTCCAGTTATGAATGGAGCTGGAGGAAATCTTGTTGCTATACAGGTAGATTAGCTTTCCCTCCCTAGTATACAGGTAGATTATCTTTCCCTCCATTGTATACAGGTAGATTATCTTTCCCTCTATTGTAAACAGGTAGATTATCTTTCCCTCCCTCGTATACAGGTAGATTATTTTTCCCTTCATTGTAAACAGGTATATTATCTTTCCCTCCCTCGTATACAGATAGATTAGCTTTCCCTTCCTCGTATACAGATAGATTAACTTTCCCTCCCCCTTATACAGGCATGATTAGGTTTCCCTCCATCGTATACAGGTAGATTATCTTTCCCTCCCTCGTATACAGGTAGATTAGCAATCCCTCCCTCGTATACAAGTAGATTATTTTTCCCTCCCTCTTATACAGGTAGATTAGCTTTCCCTCCCTCGTATACAGGTAGATTAGCTTTCACTCCCTCGTATACAGACAGATTATCTTTCACTCCCTCGTATACAGGTAGATTATCCTTCCCTCCCTCTTATACAGATCCATTATCCTTCCCTCCCTCTTATACTGATACATTATCCTTCCCTCCCTCTTATACAGGTAGATTAGCCTTCCCTTCCTCTTATACAAATACATTATCCTTCCCTCCCTCTTATACAGGCATGATTAGCTTTCCCTCCCTCTTATACAAGTAGATTATCCTTCCCTCCCTCTTATACAGGTAGATTATCCTTCCCTCCCTCTTATACAGGCATGATTAGCTTTCCCTCTCTCATATACAATCGTAGCAATAATGCTTTTTAAAGATTTTAGAAAATTAATTTTTTTGCACCCATTCTACTTTTTCCGTCTTTTACATCTGAATGGTTAAATATATTAAAGGAACATGTAAACCTTCTTTCCAGTGACTCCCCGTTAAAGAAGTTGCAACTACATGTCAAGGTTCAATCTTATAAAGTGTCCAGAGTTGGGAACTTTTGAATGGTGGATATCGGGATGAAGGCTTGATCCACTCTTTTTCTTAATCTCGATATTAAATAATGCTTGTTCTCCTTTTTGTTATTAATCTCCAGATTAATTAACCGATCGGGATTAGGGATATTCCATTCTATAGTTTTCAGCTCAGGTCTTTCAATTTCCTTCTTTGTTTATGCTGCACAAGCCACAACCAAAAAAGTTTCAATGTTCAGATAGAAAAAGAAAGATTTCTGTATCATTTTTGCCTAGAAAAGGGGCTAAAGGCCACCATTATGATTCAGGTATGCAGGGTCACTTAAAATTACGTGTACACAGTCCCTTTCAGGATAAATGCTGGCTTAGAGACCAGATCTTTCATGAATATACAAAATAGAGTTGGCCCCCTCTGAGGGCAGAAATAAATGAGTTGCCATATATATCTTGAGAAGATAAAATCTACTATTGTTAAAACTGGTTTCAGATTGTACTTTATACACTCATGTTTCGATATTTATACTCATTATGTAATCTTATCGCTGATCAGGACATTGTTCATTTATTTTCAATGAAATAATTTTATTATTTTTGTGAACACCCACGCTAATTTTTTAAATATTAATGAGGTTTGGTGGGATGGCGCTCATAAAACTGTAGAGGAAACAGACGACTATTATAATCATGTTACTTGATACACAGCAATTGTGCAGTTACAAAGACCTATTTTCATCTAATTTTCTTGTGAAACTATCATAGCTTATAAAAACTTGCAATAAACATAAGATTGCGCAAATGCCCCCACACTCTGTATAGTTTGAATTTGTAGGAAAAGATAATATTTTCAAATAAGAATTTATTGTGTGGTTACTTACGTTCTAGACTTGATGTACGGAAAGCTTAATATTAAATGGATTCAACGATAAACAACTATAAACTGAGAATTTGTATCTACATGAATCTTGATTTTAACCAAGGAAAGTTAATTGCAGTTGCGTGTACTCTGCGTACATATTGAAACCAGTTCTCTCTGGGCGGAATTTGTAAACAAGAATATAGATATATCAGTGTTCGTTTAGCATCTGTGGAGGATAAAAGCATTTAATTTTGACGATTTTGATAATTCACAATTAACATTATAGTTTCCTTAGACCAGAATATTTCATTGATTTTTTATGTGAAAGATGGATTACATGTCAGGGTTCGACATCCATCTTTTGTTTACATTACCGCCCAGAGACAGTACACTGCAGTACAAAAGATGCAATCACCTCTGAAATAACTTTCTTCCTTTCATTATAACCTTGATTCCAACTATCAATTCAGATATGGTCTGGTTTTAAGGATTTTTAATGTCCCTCATAGCTTCCACGTTATTTATCAGATAAAGGTTTCTAGTGTATCGCTGTGAATCCGGCTTTGCCATCTTTGTATGGATGTACACTTGAAATTACGCTTACAGTCCCTTTAAAGGATCTAAACTGTTTTGAACTCAAATGTGTTCACGTTGTATACGCATGCTCATAGCTGCAACTTGGATTTATTATTTAACGTATATAGGGATCGGGTAAGGAAGAAACTTCAAGAAACGACATTCCTTTGGTTACTGAACTGTACTGTACTGTACTAAACTGTACTGCACTTTCTGTCAGGAATGTAAACAAAGTCTTTGCGTCTGATTTATGCATACATTTCCTCCAGAAATTGAAATACACTAGATTTCACAGGGGACCCTGACGCTAATTTCTCGGGGTTTAGAATGGAGTTTTTCACCCGGCCTCGCACTATCATTAGTATTTGTGCTGTGATACCCATAAAAATGTGGAATATGAAGAGACTGTAAAGGACTATAAGCGTAATTATAAGTGACCCTATGCATGCAAAGATGACAATAAACGGTAAACTTAAAAGCTTTTAAACCTTGGGGAAAAACAATATCTTTCCCATTATTTATCAGATAAGGGGTTCAAAGGTACCGTTGTGAACTGGGCAGTGCCTTTTTTTAATAGACGGTCACTTGAAATTACGCTTACACTCTCTTTAAATTAATTTTGATAAAGAAACATATACATTGTTGTGCAGCGTTTACAGACCCATTTATAACTTGATTTTCACTCTAATGGTAAAACTATTTGATAGCAACATTATGAACAAAAACCCTAACTCTTGAAAAAAATAATTACATATAGTGTTCTATCTGTGTTGTTTTGTGCAGCGTTTACAGACCCATTTATAACTTTTCACTCTAAGGGTAAAACTATTTGATAGCAACATTGAATGCTCCCCATCATTTCACAGTTTTATGGGATTCACTGTATAAAAAGAATATCCAAGTTGCAATCCTCTGATAGTGTATCTGTCAAGACATTGTGTTGAATTAATAAATAAGAAAGGCTTACATCTTTTTCACTTCGCTAAGCGCCATATACTGTTACACTATTTTTGACCAGGCAATAAAACAATAGTCTTAATGAATGAAATATATTTAACTTTTTATATTATTGAAATATATTAATTGTCAATTTTTCTAATAAAAATATGACCACTTTATTTACCACAAAAGTTTAAAACTTTTACAATAAAAGCTTATTAAAATCGAAAATCTAATGCTAAAAGAAAAGAAAGAAAGAACGTTGAATATAAAAAATAAACCAATTTTTTAAATGATTTTACATATAACAAATATTAAGATGTTTTGATATAGGTCTTACTAACAGTAACAGTCCCATTTCAAATATCACTAATGTACTGATTTTTTTAAATTTTGGACGAAAAAAAACTTCATGAGAACATATGTTTTTTTTCAGCGTAATCAAAAGTAACCCTATGAATTAATTAAGCAAAATTTAGTCTTAGAAAAATTAGATTTGAAATTTTACACAAAGAAAAGCGGCGGGAAGCCCTATGATTTTCCTTTTGATTTTACCAATGTTAATGGGGATATTATAGGGGGAAAGGGAAAGGGTCATAGATTAAAATTTTTCATAGAATTAAGTTTTTAGTCTTTATAATTTATCTTGCTTTAAAATGTCAAAACATGCAGTGGGGTAAGGGGGGTGAGGTTGCAATTTTCAATGTATTTTATTTCCTTCAAAAGTAATAAACAAAATATTTAATTAGATCTTCACACATATCGGTTTTATTTAACATACTTTGAAAATTTAAAGGGAGTGACCGGCAGTGTTTATAGTTTATTTGATAATGTTGTATTGTGGAGTATGTTTTAGAAATCTTTTGAGGCCTATAAGACGTTTTTCCGGTGCATATTTGTTCAGCAAGAGCGCAAATTCAATCTTTAAAATCCTCATAGATTGTTCATTTTTAAGTGATGATTTCGAGAATCTTTTTTTTAATTATACAAGAACGACGACTAAAAATGAAGTAAAAATTCTACAGTAAACTAATTAGTTGTTTAGGAACAGGTTGAGCAATTATAAAAAATAACTATTATCTTCGAAAATAAGTAATCTTATTCAGTAAGATTTGATTTGACATTTGAAGAATTTTAAGAAATCTGCGAACAAATTCATAAAGAATAAGAAATTCAATATAATAATGAAAAAGAAATAATTGATTCTAACGTTCATTTCTTGAGAAAATGGGAAATTGTGAAATATGTTCATGAAGATGTAATCAATTTACTGTAGAATATTTTTTACATTTTTTGACGTCTTTATTTAATAATTCTCAAAACGTACATTTTACCTTTAATGACATTTCTGTTGTCATATTTTAATCTTAAAATCCGTCGAAATATGCGTAAAAAAGACTTTATCTACTTAAATATTGAGAATATTCCGTTTAGCAAACAAGCATTAAAGAAGCAAATCAAAGAAAAACTTTTTAAGGGTCAAAAACAGGGACCAAATTACCCTGAATGGTACGGTCAGTTTTTAAACAGAAAAATCACAATAAAAAGTTATAGAGTTTATTTAGAAAAATAAGATTATTTCATTCATCCTTGATCAAACACAGGTGTAAAGAGTACTGCTGTGAATAGAAAATGGCACTCCTTTTTAAATTGCGGGCCACTTTGAGAAGATATCTTTAACATGCCCTTTACAGTTTAAGAAGATCAATTTAGTAAGACATGTATTCATTATTGTATAAATTCATAAAATTAGTCTAACTAAAATTAAAATGCTAATTGTTTAGGCCTCTCGGATGACGACATATCTTCATGCTGCAACCAACTCCCTCCAAGGCACCTTCCCGCCAGATGACGACCGCGTGTGCGTGCTGCCCTGCTCGGCGCTGTGTGGTGGATTCAGCTGCTGCGGTTCAAACCAGGCGGCCCCGCACGCCGGTACAGCCCGGCTACTCCTGTGTATACTTGTGCCGGGGCAGCTGGTGTTTGTGTACTCTATTTGTGTACTAGAAGCTGGTGTACTTCCAACTCCTTTGTTCTTACTGGGATACATCATTGCATCCGTTGCACAGGTACTGTAATGTTAGGTAGACATGGTTCCTAACCTTACATAACCAGTTTTTTTTACCTGTCATGCATCAGGTCAAATCCCAGAACCTTATATGTTTAGGATCAATGACGGATTATATGTTTCACCCTAAACTAAGCTTTTGGTGTGTACTGAAGTGATTTGCAGTACTCAGGCCAAAGGAAAACGTAGTTTGATGAAGAGTGGCCTAACACAACAGCTTGCGCTCACCCCATTCCTCGCTGATAATTGATTGATTGATCGATGTTTAAAAAATCTGTTTAACCTCAGGTTGTTCTTCTGTTGTATCTGTGCCAGCTGTTGGTCTACTGGATGTGGAGTAGAGGGGCGGATCCAGATAATGCTGCTATTCCATATCTGACAGCGGTAATCATGCATGCATTCATTTTTATCCTTCTGTTTTCTTATTCATCATTCATTCATCCTTTCCTTTTTATCCTTTAATTCTCTTATTCATCATTCATTCTTTCATTTATCATTAATGGATGTGGAGTGCAGGGTTAATTACTGATAACTCTGCTATTCCATATCTGACGGTGGTTATCATTCATTCATTTATTTTTATCCTACTGTTTATCCTTTTTTTCCCTTATTCATTAATCATTCCTTCAATAGATTAATAACAATACAGATAGAACAGTGTAACAGAACAGTTTTTTTGTTCACAATAAACCTGAGGCAGAAGCCCAAAGGATTTACGCGCATGCCGCGTTGAATTACAAGACAGAGAGAGAGCTTGTTCCACGTGATATGCTTGTAACTCCTTTGGGCGTCAGCCTCAGGGTTATTATGAACAAAAACCCTAACTCTTGAAAAAAATAATTACATCTAGTGTTCTATCTGTGTTGTTATACATCTATAATTCTTTGATTTATCATTCAGGAAAAAGTTGGGATTTAAAAAGATATGATTCACATACTATTCATGCTTTATAATATACAAAAGGGTGATTGGACCAAAATCCCTTGGCCATAGTTGGAGTCCAAAATAAAATAAAAACAAGAAAGCTGCTATAAAGAGTCCCAAACCTCTCGGTTATAGTTGGACTTGAGTTTAAAATAAAAAAACGAGAAAGCTGCTATAAAGAGTCCCAAACAACTTGGCTATAGTTGGACTTGAGTCCAAAATAAAAAAAAAACGAGAAAACTGCAATAAAGAGTCCCAAACCTCTCGGCTATAGTTGGACTTGAGTCCAAAATAAGAAAAAACGAGAAAGCATAAAGAGTCCCAAACCCCAATGCTATATTTGGACTGGAGTCCAAAATAAAAAAAAACGAAAAAGCTGCTATAAAGAGTCCCAAACCTCTCGGCTATAGTTGGACTTGAGTCCAAAATATAAAAACGAGAAAGCTGCTATATAGAGTCGATCCCAAACCCCTCGGCTATAGTTGGACTTGAGTCCAAAATAAGAAAAATCGAAAAAGCTGCTATAAGGAGTCCCAAACCCAAATGCTTTATTTGGACTGGAGTCCAAAATAAAAAAAAAAAACGAAAAAGCTGCTATAGTTGGACTTGTGTAAAAAAAAAAAAAAAAACCGAGTAAGCTGCTATGAAGAGCTCCAAACCCCACAGCTGTAGTTGGAATTGAGTCCAAAAAAAAACAAAACAAGAAAGCTGCTATTAAGAGTCCCAAACCTTTCGGCTATAGTTGGACTTGAGTCCAAAATAAAACGAAAACGAAAAAGCTGCTATAAAGAGTCCCAAACCACAATTAAAACATCCTTTGCTTTTCTCCTTTCTTCTGTATTAACAATTCTTATCGACCTTGATTCCTCGTTTACTAGCTTCATGCTGTATGCAACAACAACTTTTATAATTACATTTTTTAACCATTTTTTATTTTAAATTATTCAACATTGCGCATTCATAAATGTTTTAATTTTTTACATATTTTACGAGAAATTTTTTTTCTTCTAGATCGGGGATTTGTTGGGAACTGGTTTCCTAACTATTGCATTTCTTCTACTTCACTTTGGAGGAGACCCAACTATTCAAAATCTAGATGTTCATAGGTTAACTAATTTTTATAAAAAAGTTATCACAATCTATTATATTTGCATTTCTGAAAAATATTATTGCGTTTTTCTAATGATAGAATTTATCAAAAAGTTCTATTGGTCCATTTTGTGTTAGAATCTCGTGTTCAAATCTACTCTTGATGCATCTAAAAAGAATGTCAAATTCAAAGGTCAAATTAATGTTTGGGTTTTGACAAATAGCTTACTATTAGTTTTAAATCCGAGATTTTGTTTATGAAAAACGGACGTAATTTCATAACAAACTTATTTTGTTTTTCGATTTTCATTTAAAAAAATAGAATTCATAATTTTAAGTTTTTTATATTTTCAATTATTTTTAGGATAATGAATGAAACAGTCGTGGAATTTCTCAACCATACTTCCTTCAGTGTCAATTTAGTGGCTACACTAGACACATAAACACTATTAGACAGTAGATACATAGATATTTGACACATATATAGTAGACACCTAAACACTAGACACATAAACACTATTAGACAGTAAATACATAGACATTAGACACATATATAATAGATACATAAACAATAGACACATAAACACTATTAGACAGTAGATACATAGACTTTAGACACATAAAAACTATTAGACAGTAGATACATAGACATTAGACACATTGACAGTAGACATATAAACACAAGACACAAACAATAGACACCTAAACACTTGACACATAAATTAAAGCAATGTGCTCGTAAGATTAAAACCTTTTATGTTTTCATACTTAACTCCTCTTATTAAAAGAGAATTTTTAAACTTCTGCATAAATCAAAATAGTGGAGCTACGAGGTCACAAGGTCGTACCAGTAATGTCACATGAAGGAATTGAGACTTTGCTACAAACTAAAATTTTTCTACATCTATAAATCCTTTCAACCTGAATGTTTAAACCTTTTATATTTTAAACTTAGATTATTCTATCTAGCAGAATTCAAAGATTAAAATATCGGAGGTCTGCAACATTGGGTTGAACAGATAAAGGGTTTAGAAAATCAGAGTTTGTGGCAAAAACTCAATTCTTTTGGGCTTCTCCTATACTGTCATTATTTTAACGTGTCAATATACATATCACAGTTATAATTTTAAAAAGTGGCAATTATACTAGAAGCATATACAGTATACACATGGACACTTATAGACACATAGAAAGTTCATCATTTAATTTAGTAGGAACACTAGACACATAGAAACCATTTATTCAATTTTTAGTGCAGTGTGTCCCACGAAACATGACAGTAGCAAGACGAATTGAACGGTGTCTTTAAATTTTGATATATTTTGCTGCATTTAAATGTCACTTTAATTTTAGAAGTAAAATTCTTGGCATTTCCAAAATGTGGTCTACCTTTTTTGTTCTTTCAGCATTGACCGAGATATGAAGAATTTCGTTTAGATTTCGACGATTTTGATTTTATCTTAGGAAAAAGAGAATTTTGTGGTTATTGTCTCAAGAATCAAGAATCATGCTAAAATAGGTTGACGACAGAATGTCACAAATACTTTCAAAGATTAAAGACGACTTTCAAGTCGTTTTTACTATACTGTCATGTTTCGTGGGACACCCTGTAACTAAATTAAGTTATAAACTTATATTTTCTAAAGTCAAACACGTTGACAAAAAATAAAAAAACAATTTTTTTTAACTCTTTTAAAATTATGAAACGCTTAGTAAAAGTTATTGCCCGGTGAAATTTTAGCAGAACAGGATTAGATTTAAACGTTTTTCACTTAAAATCACACAAAATTATTGCATTAAATGAATTAGTTTTTCTTTTTAGTAACCGTTATTAGGAAATAACTGTACTTTATTTAATAAAGAAACCAATGTTTCATTAAATCAGACGCTATCAAACCTTGTAAAATTATTCTACCTTTAAACCCTAGATACATTAGAATAGATTGCTTATGCAGATCGACTGAGGCCGAAATTTAAAAGAGTATCGTTGAACGAAACTTCCAAGTTTCATTTTTGGGGGCTTAACATTTTGTAGATTTTGATTTAAAATATTCAACAAAAATGTATAATATGAAGAAACTGGATAAAATAATATTTCATAACAAAATTATTGATTTCTACAAAACTGCCTAACCCCATTCGTGAAACCCGTGATTCAAAACTGATTTTCATACCCTGTCTTAAGTTTTGGGCTCTGTAAAGCTGAACATTGTATACAACCCCTTGTACATCATGAACTCGTCATTAAAAAAGGTTAATGAATACGTTTTACTTCTCGGGGTCAGTCTGTTGAGAACATTTTTTAACTGACCAGTCTTGTCATTCTGAATTGTGTGAATTACTGGTCCTCTCTACATGCAAAACACCCCATACATTTGTACAGAGTTTTAACAATACTTGCCTCTACTCATTTTATTTAATGTACATACGGTGTGAATGAAGACGATATGAGCTATATCAAGGTACTAATGCAAGGTAAGTTATTTCAGAGGTGCACGCATCAATTTTCACAAAAATAATCTACGAAATATTCTGGTCATAGGAAACTATAATTGTGTGAATTTTCAAAATTATCAAAATTAAATGCTTTTATCCTCCTCGGATTCTAGACGAATACTGATCCATCTATTCTTGTTTGCAAATTCCGCCCAGAGAGAACTGGTTTCAATATGTACGCAGAGTATACGCGACCGCAATTAACTTCCCTTGCATTAGTACCTTGAGCTATCTAGTCTAATTTATCTAGGCTTTAAACTCATCAAGAGGTTGTGCAAAACATATTTCCTGTATTCCGGATTTAAAACTTTCAAATCCTTATAAATGAAGGCATACAAGTTTGCCAATGCCGACACAAAATACGCTAAAACAAGAATATTAAGAATAAAAAAGCATTAAATAAGTAAGTAGTAATCATTGTATGGTGATTGAGGATGTTTTAACTGTCATAGAAGAAGCGGTTACAAACAAATGTATATTTTGTTTACTTTTCTGATAAGTTATAAATACTTTCTAATAGATTTAGAATAGAAAATTAGGAATATTAATGGAATATTAAAAACTCTGAGCTGAAAACTTAAGAATGAATATCCTTAATCACGATCGCTTAATCTGATTATCCAATGTACGCACTTTTTGATTTTCTTCTCTTTAGATATTTCTACTGTATAAAAGTTACGCTTGATAACAATTACAGATACAATGCTATATCGATTGGACTAATATCCGATTGAATTAAAGTCAGCTGTTCACTAGCCGGCTTTTAAAGAATTTAAACATGTATTAATTTAATCATGTTAATATGAAAATATCAAAAAACATTTTTAAAGACTATTTTCATTTTGATCTTTAGTCTTAATAAACATTAATGCAAAACTTACGTTCGTTCAATCGATGTTTAGTTCAATTGATATGACACCATTAAGAACAGAAATCAAAACCGGTTTTTCAAAAGTGAAAGAGTACATCTTAACATGACACGCCGGTTGGTTAAATTTTAACTTATTTCTTGGATATCGAATGCGTTTTAAAACGATCATGAGTTTAGTAAAACCAGGAGTTTAAGCATAAAATCTTGATATCCATGTTTTCAGCTCGAATCTGATGTGTTAATAACGATCTTAAACCACACTTTGCAAAATCAAACTTAAAACACTCAAGATAATATCGGAAACGAACAAACAAAATTATAATTTATAAAATTGGAATTTTTTATTTCAGCAGTAAGGAATACTGTGTCTTTGTTTTAATGAAAGGAATTGACAGATTTAAACAAGAAAACCAGAGAATTATATTTTTGAATAAAACTTTTTTGTATTAATTTGTTATTTGCATGCCATATGCATGGTGTTAAGTCCAATGCACTGTTTATTGCTTTAAAGCCAACAATTTTGAAATATGAATAATCATTTAAATTGATTTAACACATATTGGAAATTAAGAACGTAGACTAGTAGTAGTTAATGCTAAAAATCGTCCTGAGCAAAGTTCTTGTAATTAGTAAAAATTGTGTACAATTTGTTAATTAGAAATATTAAATAGACATATTGTATATTGTTGTCCGATTAAAAACTTACTTATTAGCGTATAGAATAGTTTCATATTTGTAGAAAGATATTTACGCATAAAGCAAAATAAAATCAACATGAAACTGTTGATATTTGGTCGTTAACCAGCAAAAATATAGTAGATTATGTGTTAATATATAAATATAAAAAAGGTAACAAAATAAAATATTGACTAATCAATGTAACTGTAAGCTTTTCTCTGTAACAATTTGTAAAGGAATAGCGATGTGATAAATTATCTGTGAAAAATAAAAGAAAAAAATAAAGTAATAATTTCCAAGGAATTATCAATTTGAGAGATACGATGAAACCACTTTAAACTAGCCGTGATATGGTTGATAAAGGTAAATCCCAAACTATAAGATAAAAATGGGGTCGAAATTAAAGACATGTTGATTATTAAGATTTTTACCTTAATTGTACACATCTGTGCCAAATTAGACTTTTTCCAGGTGGATGATCGTTCTTATTGTTATTTAAGTTTCAAGACGACATCAAGATTTAAGAGATAATTTGAGAGATTTAGAGATTATAAGAGATTTAAGAGATTATCTGAGAGATTTAAGAGATAATTTGAGAGATTTAGAGATTTAAAAGATTATCTGAGAGATTTAAGACATTGTTTATGAGATTTAAGAGATTATTTATGAGATTTAAGAGATTATTTATGAGATTTAAGAGATTATCTAAGAGATTTAAGAAATTATCTAAGAGATTAAAAAAATTATTTGAGAAATTTGAGAGATTATCTAAGAAATTTAAGAGATTATTTAAGAGATTTGAGAAATTATTTGATAATTTTAAGAGATTATCTAAGAGATTTAAGAGATTAACTGAGAGATTTAGGAGATTATCTAAGAGATTTAAGACATTATTTAAGAGATTATCTAAGTGATTTAAAAGATCATTTAAGAGATTTAAGAGATTATCTAAGAGATTATTTAAGAGATTTGTAAGAATTTAAGAGACTGTTTAAGAGATTTAAAAGATTATCTAAGAGATTATTTAAGAGATTTACGAGATAATTTAAGAGATTCTCCAAAAATTGGCATGATCTTTTTCTAAAAATGTTGCTTCCTAAACTGAAGTTTAATTTTCTATGAAAAAGAATTTTGGGAATAGTTGGGGAAGAATTTTAAGTTTACTTCAAGTTTTAAGATTAAATTAAAATCAGTTCTATATTCATCTTGTAAAATACACTAATTAAAGGGGTTATCGTTGTAATTTCGTGTAACCGGTCTTTTTAAACGGGGCATTTCCAATTTCAATATATTACCCGGAAAACTTATTCTAGTTATCAATATTCAAAAGTGGTGAATTATGACACTTTCCTCCATTTTGTTGCTCAAGCAGAAACGTGCGAGTCACTTTACCGAGAAACAGCAATTGAAAATATTCAAATTTCAAGTAGAATATGATTGATATATCATTAATTTTTGATTAGACAAGGCTTTTATGGGAAAACATTGTAAATCGGACACGCCTAATTGTATCTAAAGAGTCACATAAAAATACGTACTATTGAAAATACGTACTATTGAAAATACGTACTATTGAAAATTTGAACTTTAAAGAATTTGCACTATAAAGAAAACACGACTAAAGAGAAACACATCAAGAACGCAGGAATCGGGGACCCATTTTATAAATTGCACTTTTGGCACACATAATGAGTCGACGAACAAAGGTTTGACATAAATACATAAGTACATAAATAAGTACATACATAAGTAGATAAGAACATAAGAACATAAGTACAAAAGTACATAAGTAGATAAGTACATAAGTACATAAGTACATAAGTACATAAGTACAAAATTACATAAGAACATAAGTACAAAAGTACACCTTTATATGATAACTAGCTAAAGTGCCTGGTGTGGCCCGTGAAATGAAAAAAATTGGAATTTCGAAAAAAAAAATTTTTTTATAAAATGTATATTTAAACTGAAATTGATAATATAAATATATAAAGGGATTTATTTGTCAAATATCAAAATATATTTGAATAATTATTTAAACATTTCAATGAATTCCGTAGCTGCAACATAAAGGGCTTTTTTCATTCGATCAAAAATTATAAAAATTTTATAAACCGATAAAATACTTATTTTATGTCCGTCTCTTAAATAAATGATTTCAAGACATCTGCGTAAATTTGCAATATTTTGTTTTCAAAATAAAATTGAGCAATTCGGAAGGAAAAAATGCGGGAAAAAGGTGGGAATATATATTTTTCACAAAAATATTCTGTGAGATATTCAGTTGATATATTCCCATAACGGTAAAAAATGCATTCACCCTTGAAAACCAAAAAAGAGTATTTTTTCAAAGATAACATTAAAAAATAGCAAATATATAGAAAAAGATAATCCACCGAGCACCTCAAATTGGGTTTCCACAAAAAGAATAATGTAAGCAAGCAAATTATATGTTTATAAACCATGTAAAGGAACTGGTATATATATATATATATATACAAATATAAGGAACTGGTTACTCATCACAAACTCAATTTTTTCAATCTCTAAATCTTTGCAAACTACTGTCGTACAATCGTTTTATATATATATCAATACAATAAGGTTGATTTTTTATTTTTATTTTTATTTCTACCAATCTTTCAAACAGCAGATACACCCAAGCATGTAAAAAAATAGAAGCAGCCAATTAACAGCCTCTCTTTGTTTACTTGTAAAATGTCTGTTGATGATTTTTGATAAAACTGCGTCTTCATTCCATTGATACAATTGTCAACAACTGTATATCTTGACAAACTACTGTCGTAGACCTTTCATTTATCTAACAATGAATTTTGCCAGTTCAAACCGCCAAAGTTTAAAACAACACAAATGTACACCATCTAGTTGCAAAGATATAAGGATTAGAAAATCTTATTTGTGGCATGCGATCAGTTTCTTTTCAATATAATTTAAAGATCTAAGTTTACAAATTTATATCTTTTTGTATTAATAAAGAATACTTAAAGTTTTGTTTCAAATAAAAAGTTAGTTAATGCATGATAATAAAAAAATTCACAGGTTTCAACATAGATAGATAACAACACAGATAGAACACTAGATGTCGTCTTTTCAAAATTTAGTGTTTTTCGTTCAAAAAAGCCATAAGGAGTCACGTGCATGCTGCGTTGAATTACAAGAAAGAGAGAGAGCATGCGCGTAACCCCTTTGGGCCTCTGCCTCACGGTTAATGTGAACGAAAACCCCTTTAATCTTAAAATGACGACATTTGTTATTGAGTTGTTACTAATCTATGGGTTTCAAATTCAAAATAAAATATTTTCTTTCTTCATCATCTTCTTCTTCTAACTATTTTTTCCCTCTTCCCTCTCTCCTGCTCAACCCTCTCTAGCTCCGCCCTCTCCGCCCTTTCATTGCTATAGTTCTCCGCCCCTTGAGCTGCTACACTGCCTGCCCGGTGTACCAGGGCAGCTAAACCAAGGCTCAAGCTTGCAGGAACCAGGTCAAGTAAACAACAAAGGGCCTAGACAAATTAAATATTTGAAATAATTGAACAGAATGAAATGACGAGGATTCAAGGACGTTTTTATTTGTTCTACAGTCGTCGTCTTATAAAGAGCTACAATGAAGACGACTTTCTATTAGAAGAAAATGACGAGGATTCAAGGACGTTTTGTTCTACAGTCGTCGTCTAATAAAGAGCTACAATGAAGACGACTTTCTATTTCTATTTTTGATTTCTACCAGCATTGGATATACAATACACATAAACAGGGAAACAAAGAGAAGCTGCCAATTAACAGCTTTTCTTTGTTTCCTAATAAACTTGTAATTTGAAAAAATCTTGTTAGAAATAAAAACTTTAATAGAAAAGTCGTCTTCATTCTATTGATAAAAACGTTGGTTATCGGGAAAATATGCATATAAAATTATCAAAATGCATTGGAAATCTACGAAAATTGTTAATTATGTTAAATTCAAACACTTTTTCGACAGTAAACACTGTTTATTGAATAGAACTATGTTTCGACACTGAACACCCAATTTTTTTTAGTTTTAACACGAGCAGATTTCGACTCTGAACACAAACTATTTTAACACGAGCAGATTTCGACTCTGAACACAAACTATTTTAACACGAGCAGATTTCGACACTGAACACAAAATATTTTAAGTTTTAACACGAGCAGATTTCGACACTGAACACAAAATATTTCAACACGAGCAGATTTTGACAGTGAACACAAAATATTTCAAGCTTTATCACGAGAAAAAATAACATTAAAACCTTTAAAATTCAGTGATGGTGATGGACCAAACCTCTGTAGAGTAAAAAAGTAGATGTTAGTTCCACATTTTTTTACCTGAAGGAGAAGGAAAGGTAAAGAACAGAAGTATTCATAAACAGATTTTCTTCCAACTAGGCTTCGACTGAAAAAAAGAAAGATTTTTGAAAAAATTTAAATTTTTTAGAATTAAAGGGACTGTTCTGTGGGACTGTAGGTGTTATGTCAAGTGAAAAATGGCAATGTTCGATCCACAACGGAACCCTCTGTCTGATCAAGTATGAATTAGATATGTTTATAATCTTGAAAACTGATTATTTTCAAACGCGGTTTCTCCACAAAAGTGATTTGCACATTTTCTAATTAGGAAAATTTTTAAAAAATGATCAGGATTCAACACTTTTAAACCTAGAAAAACGACAATATCTTCCACATAATTGATCAGATAAAATTTCAACTTTCAAGGGTATTGTCAATTGGGCATATAATCTGTTAATGAAGGGTCACTTGAAAATACGCGTAATGCCCCTTTAAAGACTGAAAATGATAAGATTTACTCATTTAAAGTACAGAACCGATATTTTAGCAACTATTTAATGATGTACAGTACATATACATAATATACAAGGCAAAATACGACGGTACACCAAATTAATCCTTCCCTTTATGTGATGAGGACGCACAAATTAATCCTTCCCTGTATGTAATGAGGACGCACAAATTAGTACTTGCATTCTTAATACATTGCAGTCGTGTCATACATCAAATTAAAGGTTATTTTCGAGCACTTTTCTTCAACATTTTGAAAAGAAAAGACCCAGCTGTAAAGCTGTAAAGCTGTAAAGCTGTAAAGCTGTAAAGCTGTAAAGCTGTAAAGCTGTAAAGCTGTAAAGCTGTAAAGCTGTAAAGCTGTAAAGCTGTAAAGCTGTAAAGCTGTAAAGCTGTAAAGCTGTAAAGCTGTAAAGCTGTAAAGCTGTAAAGCTGTAAAGCTGTAAAGCTGTAAAGCTGTAAAGCTGTAAAGCTGTAAAGCTGTAAAGCTGTAAAGCTGTAAAGCTGTAAAGCTGTAAAGCTGTAAAGCTGTAAAGCTGTAAAGCTGTAAAGCTGTAAAGCTGTAAAGCTGTAAAGCTGTAAAGCTGTAAAGCTGTAAAGCTGTAAAGCTGTAAAGCTGTAAAGCTGTAAAGCTGTAAAGCTGTAAAGCTGTAAAGCTGTAAAGCTGTAAAGCATACCTAATTGATATAAAAGCTGAAAATCCAGGCGCACCTTCTACTTCTGCTAATCTGAAATTTAAAAAATCAATTAGAAATAAAAAATGACAAATTATTCATCATCTTGGAAAATAAAAGTTGCAACTCAACTTCTGCGATTTTTCAATGTTTTAGTCAAAAATGGGGTTTAATTAAAATTATTTTTAATTTAAGTATTTTAATTTAAAATATGACGAAGTTTCATTTTTTTTCTTTTTTAAAAGAAAACTTTGACCTCAAAAAAAAGGTAAGAAAAAGATCTTCTAAAGGGGATGTTCTGAATAACAAACCTGGTCTCTAGTTCCTGAATCCTTGACTCCTGTTCTAAAAGGTGCTCCTGCATACTCCTTAATCTCAACTCCTTCCGCAGGAGTAAACGTTCAAGGAGCAATCTTTCTAACCCTTTTCCATCGCTGAAAAATAAATAAATAAAAAATGGTTTTAAATTTTGAGTCATGAAACTCCTTGAAATAACAGATTTACGTGATTATATTTAAATTTTGTATTTATGAATATTAGTCAATTCAATAAAAAAAAATCAATTTGGCGGACCTTTATCAATTCATGGATTCATCTTTCGCGCCAAAATTTGAATGTCGTCTTCCTTTAGGGCAAAGTTTACCTGAATTCCTCCTCCTGCCTGAGCTTATGTGGAGCAATTGGACTTGAATCATATGGTATACTTAAACTCTCTTCCATCAAGATTAAACTTCGCCTGAACACATTTCTGTTATGTTAAAATGATAAACAATGCTTTCGTCGAAACTTTATTGGCAATCGATTTTCATTGTAATTACAACCAAGAAAATAAAGTGGAACAAATGTTTCTTATCCTTGTTGAAGATCCTGTTTTTGTGAATTGTTAAATTGGATTAGCACATTTTTGTTTTTATTTATACCTGTGTTGTGACTTTTGTAGTTCAATGTCGTCTTCATCACAGATCTTAAATTCAGCAGTTTTATTATCATTATTTATCATTGTTATTATTATCATTATTATTATTATTATTATTATTATTATTATTACTATTAACCTGGTCAAGTGTGCTTGTTTTGAATTCTGCTGAGAAGTCAAAAACTGCCATTTGTCTGAAAGTAGGAACTATTAAAAATAAAAGCATTAGATTCATTTTTACAATATAAGGTGCATACAATTCTTATTGTTATTGTTAAAAAGATGTTTTTATATTTTTAAAGAATTATAGAAATAATCACCACCTTATTCTATTAAGTGCTGTTTTATTATTTTTTATTATTATTATTAAATTTAGACTTATTTTGTTTTATATAGATTTGTGGTTGATCCTTTTAATCAAAATCCACTTATGTATTTAGAGGAGATTAAATTTAATAGATTGATTTGGGGATTATCTTTTAATAAATTATAAAATCATAATTGATAGTTTTATTGATTTCATTATTATTTTATCCCCCACGGTTGGTTTTTTCGTTGAACAGGAGATTAAACGATAAATTACTACTTAACCGGGAGTTTTCATGAGGATAATTAAATTGAGGGGAAAACCACATAGCCTTGGGCCTCCTCGACTACGTGGTTTTCCCCTCAATTTAATTATCCTCCCTTAATCTCCCGGTTAAGTAGTAATTAATAGTTAATATGATAACCAATTTTTGATAAATATGATAAATTTTTAAATTTCAAAGATTTATAACCAGTGGTCTTTTAAACAGACTTTTCAAATAAAGTTTTGATTTTTAACAATTGATTTTTTTAAACATCAAGTTTACTGCAGTAAACAAAGAGAAGCTGTTAATTGTTAGCTTTTCTTCGTTTCCATATTTATATGTTATTTATATTTAAAAGTAGAAACCAAAATTGAAAAAATCGTCTTCATTGTCTTGATATATTCGACGACAACTGTAGTTTAGAACTTAAAACATTTTTTACGCCTGGTATATTATTAATTTCATATTGGATTTCGAAGCTTTGATGTAATAAACTCTGAATGTTATGTTTATATGTTGCTTGAGTTTTACTGCTTTATAAACATTGCAGTAAACAATTTGAAATTCAATGCAGCATTCGCAAAGCCATTGGAAGCTATAATTTTATAAACTTAATACTTACCTTTCATGAAAGTAAATATTTTTAAAGTTTTATTTTTATCAAAAAATCAAAAAAACACTTTTTTTGTCAAGTGGATCCTTAGAATTGGGAATAAGAAGACGACATTTAATCAATCGTGTGAACTTCATCTATGTATATAATTTACTTATATGTTTGTCTGTTTGTATCCAAAAAACGTCAAAACGGTTGAACTGATCGGGCTCAAATATGTTGTGGGTCCTCACATGACCCCAGGGAAGGTTTATGAATGATCAAAATTTCAAAAATTTGCCTCCAAATTTCATATTTTCATAAAATTTGAAAATCCACAAATTGTTTAAATGAAACCGTGAACTTTTTTTGATTGTTTTGTTTTACAATGAATACAAAGAGAAAATGTTCACAAATGAAATAGAAAATGTGCGCGAAATGCCCTAAAAGCCTAGTGTTGTTATAAAGCTAAAAGTTTGACCAGCAGTTGGCTTGAATTTAAACGGGTCTGTGTACACTGCACATTTGCTGTGCTTCATGTACATTTGACTAAAAGAAATCGTAACTTAACAAATTACAGTTTATGAGTCTCATTGTAGCATGTTATATATGTAGAACATTGAGTTTACCAGGGGATTATATCAGTATAATGACGACAACGTTTTAATTTTAATTGTTAACAAGCTTTTTCGAATTAAAGAGAAGCTTTTTAAATTGATAACTTCTCTTTAATTGTACCCATGCTGCTTAAAAGCTTAATTGATATAAATCAAAATTTAAATCGAAAATCGTCTTCCTTATATTGATATAATCGCACACCACTGTACCCTAAAACACAGTTATAATACCAACAATATTGAATCAAGAAAACTTCCCGTAAAAGTTGACAAACTAAAGGATAGTTCAACAAGTTTTCATGAAAGGGCAATCCTTTAAAGAGACTGTAACTGTAACTTTAAATGACTGTTCATTTAGAAAAAAAAGATGGAGATATTTGATTCACAATGGTAACCTTGAAACCTTTAGCTGATAAATAATTTTTTCTAGTTTGAAAGTGCAGTTTAATTCTGGTAATTCTTATTTATTTTCAATTGTGGTTTCTTTACTAAGCATTTTTAAAGATTCCTGCTGATAAACATAAATGTTTAATTCTTATTCAAAGCTTTTGTGACACTTTATAAATAAATGGCACTTACAATTCCACCTACAGAACCTTCTAAGGAACACTCCCGTAAAGTAATCCTTGATTTAAAGACCATTTTTACAAGTAAAATTCTTTAACCAATTAGATGTCTAAAAATCGAAAAACAAGATATCGTCTCTATGTAAAAATCCAAGAGAAACCATGAATAACACCACAACCTAAAAAAACTGCTAACCTTTTCAGGTTTGACTATTTGAAAAAAATAATCAATATATAAATAGTTTGAAAAATTAACAATCAACATTTTCATGTTTCATGTTCATTGAAAACGATGATATATTAGTTCTCAGGTCAAGGTTTTAAAAGATACTATAAACATCCGTTTCATTTAATGGATTCGTATAAACCAATATATTCAGTGAGAACCAGAGACCTCTGGAATAGGAAGACTACTTTTAGACTCAAGTTATGACTTTAAATAGTCCAATTACCATTTATTGTGCAGTGTAAAGAAACCCATTTAACTTTTAAGTGATTTAATAGTTACTAGTAAACCCAATTGCTTTGTAACAACATCAAATACGTATTGTTTAATGTCTTTCTATTCAACAGTTTTTGGGTCCCCCCCCCCCCTCCTTCAATACTAGATTTAACAGCTTAGGTAGGAGTATATGAGGTATTCGAAGACTGGTTTGACGAGTTAAAGTTTTGCAGTTGTAGAAAGCTCAAATTAAATTTTCTGCCCCCATACCAAGGTTGTATAATAAGGTTGGTTACTCTCGATGCGCTCCAATGTACAGAAAATGTGGTCTCCTAAGATAGAAAATTAGGAGACGACATTTTACGTACATTGAAGCGCATCGACAGTAACCAACCTTATTATACAACCTTACCCCATACTCTCTTTTTTTGCAGCCATGAACATTCTTTCTAATATCGCGTTACGTAATACATGATATCATTTATAGTAATAATAAATATACATTTAACTTTTGTTTGTTTGTTTTCAACATTAAATTTTAATTTGCGATGCTTCAACTTTCCCGAACCCCCAAAAAAATAATAAAAAGATTTCAAAATAAAGAGAATTTCATTCGAATATATTCGATCACATTAGTCCCGCTAAAGGGTATTCATTTGCCGTGAATAAAATATTCGTATATTGTACTTACTTACTTATAATTCGGTATTGTACTTCAATAAACCTGAGATTTTAGTGTGGTTTTTGTTTGGTAAGGTCGGATACTATAAAATAAAATTTCTGTACTTTTTCTATAGCCATGGTAAAATAGTATAATAAGCATTTTATATTTACGTAGTAAATATTTAAAATCGTATAAAAGAAAACATGAATGATCGGACTTAAAAAACGTGCTCAGTCCATTTTTAGAAACGGTAATTTTTGGTTTCACAGACTGTAACTGTATTCAAGATTTTGTTCACCGGTTGCTGCAGGAATAATTAATAAGTCATCTACGAAACATAGGATACACGACACGACATGCTTGGAACTTGATTTTTCAAATTACAAGAACATTTTCCATGAGATCATTTTCCAAAATAATCACATTTTCCCAATTGAACAGATTACCAAAATACAGATTTTAATTTTCGGGGAGGGGGTTCAAGAAATTTACCAGCTTCACTCCACCCCCCCCCCCCGCGCCCCTGTAGATAATTTCTAGTTTGTTTGACATTAAACCCCCTGGGGAATGGGAATCTTCACAAAAGGTCTATTTATATATATATTTAAAGATATTATGACATCATAGAACAATGATTTCAAATAAATCTCTTTCGATAAAAATTATGTTTATCAAAAAAATGATATTTTAGTCTATATTGCGTGTTAAAAAATGTGGTTGAAAGAGTAAAATAAGTTTAAAAAACTAACTGTTATTATTTGATCAATTTTTGCTTAACAAGACAAATAGAAATAAATATGTTGAAGCGTAAAATTCGTTAAATATTTCTTATGTCGTTATTACATTTTTTCATTTACAATGTTCATTTTATAAAATTTGATAACTTGATAAGTAATAAGTATATATATATATATACTTATTACTTATCAAGTTATCAAATTTTAGGTATATATATATATATACAATGTATAAATATGAGGATGATATTGTATGTAACCATGTTTTGTATCAATAAAATAAAAATATGACATTTTCTGAATATAGTAAATAATTGTATGTAAATTGTATTGTATGTATTGCAATTGTATTTTATGAATTGCACTAATACAATATAAGGATGGTATTACTTGTTTTACCGCAACCACAATATTGCAGAAATCCAGTTAGGCAATCTGACCTTTAGAAGGTTTGGTCACTTTTAGGTCTGTTATGAGAATACTTTTTAAACTGATATTATTTCCCCCCTCTCACTAAATAATAATATTCTCAGACTTAATTGCACTAATTCACAATGTAAAATCTTCATGTTTGCGTAAAAATTGCGTAAATGTTTGCGTACACTCCATGTAACGTGGAGTACAGGTGTCTGAATACTACTGCCTGTATCAACTATCAACTGCCTATGTTTAAACCAGTAAACTAGCTTCCTACCTCCCCCTCCCCCTCCTCCACCCCCCTTCACTGTCTCAATCTCTCCCTTATCTCTTCTTATCATGTGCCGAGGGAGTAATATCAGAAATATCATATTATCTTGGATTTAGTTGCTAAATTAAAAAAAGAGAATGCTATCAAATTTTAAAATTAAAACTTCTCAATCCTATAACATACGGTCTGTTATGGTCTAATCAGTTTTGGGGGGGGTTAGCCAGGAATGATTTTTATTTCGTACACTCATTTTTATAGAAGTGGAAGGTTAGGTTAGGTTTGGAATTTCAACATGTAAACCTTTAAAAAAATAATT